GGATCTCATTTAATTCTTTTTAATATCATAAAGTGCCAATGTAGTTCCTACCTGGTTTCACTTTGTCCCTCTCTCTTAAATAAACAACCCATTTTAATTTCTGATTTCAAATACTCTTGAAATGATCTTTTTTTTTTTTGCATCTGTGGTCACGTATTTATGCCCACCATTCATAGTTTTATGCTACTTGCAATTTTCCCTTTTCCAACCTCATCATGTTCCATCATTTGGAGCCACAGAGCCCAGGGCTGGGGAATGTTCTTATGCTGTCTGATATGATCAACGTGTATCTTGGTTTGGCTGAATGCTTTTATATATGGAAATATAAACATGTATACATACATATGTATATATGTTGGTATTCTAAAAATCAATCTAATTTTAAGTTCTTAAAGGTTAAAACATATATATGTGTGTGTATGTACAAACATATAATGATATCTACATCCATATGAGTAGATTGGATATGTGTGTATGTATGTATATATATATATATATATATATACACATACATATATATACACATACATATATCCATCAATATGCAAACACATATGCATGCGTATGTAAATATGTTGCACATATGTATAAGCATATATGCAAGGCAACTGGTAGTTCAGTGACTAGAGTGCTAAAAGGGCCTGGAGTCAGGAATATGTGAGCTCAAATCCAGCCTCAGATACTTACAAGCTGTGTGACTTTGGGCAAGTCACTTCACCTTGGTTTCCTCAACTGTGAAATGGGAATATAAGAAATAGCACCTATCTCTCAGGATTGTTGTGAGCATAAAGTGAGTTAGTGTTTGGAAAGCACTCAGCACAATGCCTAGCATGCAGTAGGTGTTATAGAAATGCTATCATTATTTAATATGTGTATATAAGTATGCATATATATCTATATATACACATACATATGTCTGTGTCTTCTTTGGTGAGGATGGGAAGTTGAGAGGGATATATACCAAAATGCATATGACATAACAACAAATCCACAAGAATCCGAAAGAAAAGAAACAAAAACATTCTTGTTCATGCCATAATGAGACATCAGAGAGGAGCTTCAACCTAGGCATTAGTAAACATGGAGCTTCAACAATAACAGGAGCCAATCTTAATCTTCTCATTTTCTAGATAAGGAAAAGGAAGCTTATGATGCTTCAGTCAGTCAGTCAGTCAACAAACATTGATTAAGAGCTTACCATGAGCCATGTGGTAAGTGATATGAATACAAATAGAAACAGAAATTCCATTAATTCTAATTACATTAACATTTATTTCCAATCTACTATGCTCCCAGCATTGTGCTAAGTTCGGGGATGCAAAAAGAGAACAATTTAATTCAATTCAATAAACTTTTATTAAGTACCTATTATATGCTAGGCACTGTACTAAGGGCCGGGGATACAAAAAAGAGGCAAAAGAGAGTCCCTGTCCTCAAGGAGCTAACAATATAATGGGAGAAGATAGCCCACAAAAGAGAGCTGAAAGGTGGTAGAGAGGGACCCTTTGGCAGAGAGGGACATGGCAGAGAAAGTCCCTTGGAGATTGGTCAGGAGTGCAGTCTGGAAAGGAATGAAGATGTCTTTAGTCTGGGCGTTCTCCTGAAATTGGAACTTCTGGAGGGAACCAGTAAGTCATAAGGGGAGGCCTCAGGGGTGAAGAGCACTTCCAGTGTGAGCAGTCCAGTGAGCTTCCAGACTGAAGAGGTCTCTGTGGCAGGGCCAAAGTGAGTCAGCATCATGTGCAGCCTGGAGGGGGATGAAGGGGAAGTGCCTCCGGGAAGGCTATGGGCTCACAAGTGGCAGAGCCAGGAAGTGTCCTGGGTCCTGATCTCCTGTGCTTCTCCATTGCCCTGCTACATCTGGGACTGTTCAGTTTGGATTTCTGCTGAGAAGTACTGACTTCAAACAGAAAAACAAACCACATGAATGACAACAATAGCAACATATTCATGAGTGGGGAAGGAAAGGAAGGTCTGTGCTCAGTTCCCTGTTAGCAGCAATACTGCACTTGTCTTGCCCTAAATGGGACTTACATTTTGTTGAGGAAAGGAGAGACAGCAGCTATATAGATAAGTAAACAAACATTATATATACATATATGTACATATAGATATAGATATTAAATAACATACATTTTATATTCATTGGAGGGATGGAAAAGAAATGGATTTATATGAATGATTTTTAAATAAAAATGATTTTAAACAAGTGGAAGACATGGAATGTTGCGTGTGTTTTCACGTGAGGTCACTGTATTATTATTATTTTTTTTTTACTGTCTTATGAAAGGCCTCTCGTAGAGTGAAGGTTATATGTAAATATTTGTAATGTAAAACAAAATATATCAATAATTTCTTTAAATAAAGTAATTTCAGTAAGGATGAGACTAAACAGCTGTGAGAATAAAAGTCTCTTTTTGAAGAGGGCATATGGGAGTAGCTAGGTGGCTCAGTGGATAGAGTACCAGCCCTGAAGTCAGGAGGATCTGAGTTCAAATCTGGCTTCAGACCACACACTTCACATTTACTAGCTGTGTGACCCTGGGCAAGTAACTTAACCCCAATTGCCTAAAAAAAAAAGAAAGAAAGAAGACAAGAAAAAAAGAAAAAAGAGAAGGGGGGCATATAAATGTATACTTTGAGGGACTCTATTAATCCCAAGATTATGAAATAAGGAGGGAAAGTATTCTAGATCTACTGTGCAAAGGCAAAGCAGTGGGAAATTTCATGAAGAAGGATGCATAATGAGCAGCGGCATTGTCAACAGACCATTTCCAGGGCAAGATCGCATTAGAATTCCAAGGGCACTATTTTTTTCATGTTATTCCCCTGCGTAAGAATCTGTTCTGCCTCCCTATTGCTCCTCTTCAGAGTTAAGCTCCTTTCTGCCTGGTTTTGTGGGTCTTGGTTCAAACTGGCACCACCCCAGCTTCATCTGTGCTCATCCTCTCTTCTCCCCACACTTTCTGGCTCCTATTTCTATGCTAATTGCTCCTATTAGAAGGTAAGCTCCAGAGGGTAGGGGCTGTTTTGCTTATTTTGATTTGTGTTTCCAGGGCTTAGGCCAGGGCCCAGAACAGCAGAAGCATTTACTGAATGTTCAGTGGTTCATTAGTACTTTCTAGCATTCAAAAGGATGGGGTGCTGTTGTTAGAATGCCAAATTTCCTAAAAGACTGTTTTATGGAGAACTCACACAAGGCAGGCACTCAGGGTGGTCTTTAGAAGCAATACAAGGACACTCTCAAGGTTTCGCTGAAGAATTTTGGAATTGACTGCATGATTGCCAGCATGGGAGATGCTGGCAAAGGACTGCCTAGAATGGCATAGCTGTATCAAAGAACGCACTGTGTTCTATGATTGAAGTAGAAAATTGCAGTAGCTCAAAAGGAATGAGAGATGTGCAGATTTAAAGCCATCTGCACTGCAAGTGGTCGTATGGACTATTTGTGCCGAACTTGTGATAGAGACTTCCAAGCTCATGCTGGTCTGATCAGCCGTAGTCAGACACACTGGACCTTGATGTCATTTTGGTCCTCTTTGAGAAGGAAGGAAAATGATCAAACAATCATTCACCTGTAGCTTCCTGACTCCAGGTTCCGTACTCTACCCATGATGCTATGCTGCTTCTCACCCATGCTTTGTATTGTCTTCCTCTATCTAGTCTTAGCTCACATTACTTCCCTTCATCCACTTTCTATCACAGACAAACTCATCTATTTCCTCTTCCTTGAACTTGGCCTAGACTGTCCTTTCCCTGCTCCTCCCCCACCCCATGCCTGGAATGCTCTCTCTCTTCATCTCTACCTCTTAGAATCCCTATCTTCTTTTAAGTTTCAGCTCCTGTGCCACCTCATTGGAAAGGTTTTCTGACAACCACCCCACCCCCACCCCAATTGTTAGTGTTCCCATTCTTTTAAAAATGCTGTATTTATCTTTATCTCCATGTGGTGTATCACCCAGAAGAATGTAAGCCCCTTGGAGGCAGGCACTAGTTTTCATTTTACTCTTTGTATCTTCAGGGCCTATCTATCATGCACCTTCCACAGTAGGTGCTTGCTTAATAAATGCTCATGGAATTAAAATTGGGTACCTGAATAAAGTCATCATCAGAGCAACAAAAATTTACATTTATATGATATTTTAACATTTGCAAAGAGAATCAAAAAAATCATTTTCTTTGACTTTGAAAATAACCTGGTCTACATCTTTATCTCGATGCCACAGCAGAGTGTGAGCTCTTTGAGGGCAGGTGCCTTTGACCTCTTTTTGTGTCTCCAGCACTTGATATAGGGCCTGGCATATCAAGGGTACTTAATAAATCCTTGACTGTGTCTATATCCATGTTTATGACTATGTTTATACCTACATCTATATTTACTAGATTTCTACCTGCAACTGCAGGTGCAGTCTACATTTTAATCTCCATTTCCAGCTTCATCTCCATCCCCCCCCCCCGTAGAATGTTATAAGTATGGCATGAGCAACGAAGTATGCTGGTAAATGTTTAACAATTGGCTTACCAAAAAATGCATGCCTGATACACTTTTAAGTTTAATTTGCATTACTTATATTTTTTCCACTTTCTTAAGCATAGACGATCAATAAAATAATAAATGAAGTTCCTATTTGTAATGTGTGCTAATTTCCAAGGTGCAAATGCCTGTATTCCAACTGTAATGATTTGCCTTTCCTGAGCTTCAGTGCTCTTCTGAATGAGAAACTGGTTTGTCCACTTTCTCAGTGTTTATCTGCCCATGATCATCTCTAGTCTTCTGTATACTTCTCAGCCATGTTTCAGGTCTGTTCATTCTTCTCTTACCTTTATCCCTTTCCTTTGAATAGTACAGACATCATTTGCCACTCAGGGAGCTCTTTGCCCATTCATTAACTTTGTTTTGCATGGGCTGTGTGGTTGGTAATAGCTAATGAGTATTGGCACAGGAAGGCTGTGGAGAAATGCTTGCTCCTTGACATTCTAATGCTGGTGAATATTTGCAGGAGAAGTATGAAGATCAGGTGCAGTATGAAATTGATTTAAAAGGAAAGACTGTGGTCCTTCACTTGGAAAAAAACAAGTAAGTAAATGCTTCTAATGTCTATGATCAGATGTCTGCCACAGCCAGGATGGCTCATGTGGGAAGTTCTAACCCAGCTTCTCAGTGTTGGGGCACTAATGGGGTGGTTTCCATGCATGCATGCCTGGCCAAGTCATGCTCATTTGTGGTTTCTAATAAAATAAATCAGATTAATTTTTATGATCACTCCATCAACAAACATGCATTAAGCCTGAGCTATACTGCACACTAGGGATGCAAAGCTTCCAGAAACTAATTTTATATGTACCATCAGCTTTTATCAGGGCAGCTCAGTGATGCAGGGATAAAGCACTGGGCTTGGAATCAGGAAAACTCATCTTCATAAGTTCAAATATGGCCTCTGACACTTACCGGATGAGTGACCCTGATTAGAAGAACATAAATTTCGGTTGATCAGGGACCCTAGAAGTCACCTAGTTTCACCATTTCATTATGCCAAGTACTTTATATGGACTCTAATATCCATGATAATGCAAGTTCCCTGAGGGTATGGAATATTTTTGATTTTGTTTCAATCATCCAGTGCTCATCACTGGGCCTGGTGGGCTGTATGTGCTTCATCAGTTAGTGTTGATCGACTGGCAGATGGATGGATTGACCCCTCCATGGTGCTAGCTCTATCCTCCGTGGCCAAGCAAAACACTCCAATCCTTCTTCAGACATGACACAACAACAGCTACAACTGTTCTCTATGTGTCTATTCCCTAGGAGGAGAGGAAGGAATACTCATCCTGAAATCAAGTAAAGTGGGTTCACATTTCAGTTCTAACACCTAGAACCTCTGTGGCCCTGATTTAACTGGCCCCAGTCTACTCTTTAGGACTATAGATCAGAGAAGATGTGTTCATATGCATTTGTGGAGGGAATTTTCTCACTGGGAGTTCCCTAAATCAATGAAGTTGCAAGCCTAGGCAATACAATAAGCTACAAACTACTTGTCTCACAAGTTTGTTTGATTTTTCCCCGATGCTTAACAAATATAAATAGTTTATTGTGTTCATTCTTCTTAATTTTGTTACCATCTTCTCTTTTAATCAGCCTTAGTAACCTTTGCCTTGTCCTTTCTTTAGGGATCTTCTGTCCCCAGATTATGTGGAAGTTCAATATTTATCCACAGGCGAATCAGTCACTTCGAGCCCTCAGATCATGGTAGCGTGTCACAGCATCTTACTGGATGGGGATTCACTCAAATCAAACTGTTTCAGAGCTGGGTACAGGGATTGTCACTGGACAAGCTGATAGATCTATGATGGTGGTGGTGATGTTTTGCTCATTTATTTTTGTTTATTTTTTTTTTAGGAGGCAATTGGGATTAAGTGTGTCTGAGGCTGGATTTGAACTCAGGTCCTCCCGACTGCAGGGCTTTATCCATTGTGCAACCTAGCTGCCCTGATTCATTCATTTATTCAAAAAGTATTTATTGAGGATCTGCTAGTGGCAAGAGAGAGATAGTATGGTATAGAGAACAGAGAGCTGTCCTAGGAATCTGGAAGACCTAGGTTCAAGTCTTGCCTTTGACACATATTAAATTTGTGATCCTAGGCAAATTGTTTAATCTCTAAGTGTCCCAGGCAAATCTGTACAGGTCTTGCCTTTGCCCCTAAGTACCAGGCACTTTGTTGGGGTTCTGGGTATACAATTAATCAGCATTTTTTAGCCCTTATTCTGTGTCAGTCCCAATCCTGAGCACTGAGGATACAAAGACAAAATGGCTGCTTCTGCTCTCAAGGAGTCTATCTTCTACTGGGGATTATGACATGGTCACAGATAAGTGATCCTGGGAGATTTCGAGAATCATGTGGTCCTATAAGAAGTATATAAAATATCCCAAGTGACCCACTCTGTCTAAATTGGCTTTGAGCCATGATTTCCTCACACTGCTCCTCAGCCAGCCACCTTGCTGGGGTGGGTGCACATATCTTCTACCTGACTCCACATTCTTCCATTTCTGAAACCCCAATTGAACCAATACTGCCATTGCTACTGTTTGGTAGTTTGGTCCAAAGGTGGGGAGCCTGTGGCCTCGAGGTTACATGTGGCCTTCTAAGTCCTTAAGTGCAAGCTCTTTCACTGAGTCTGAGTTTTACAGAAGAAATCCTTTTATCAAGGGAATTTGTTCTGTGAAATTTAGATTCAACCAAAGGACCATACTTGAGGACATAAAGGACCACATGTGGCCTGGAGGCTGCAGGTTCCCCACCCCTGGGTCAGTCTACTCCCCTAGAGTTCTAGTCACCACCCTTATAATTTGTCACTTTCCAAACTAAGACATCCCTTCCAGGACCCTACTCCCTTCTATGTGTCATCTTCTCCATTAAAACAGGAAGCTCCTTGAGAGCAAGCAAGATTTCAGCCTTTGCCATTGCCCCTCAGTGCTTAACATGTAGTAAATGCTTTATGTTTTTTCTTTTTCCTTCCTCTGTCCTTCCTTCCTATCTTCTTTCCTTCCTTCCTATCTCCCTTTTTCTCTTCCTTCTTTCCTACCTCCCTTTCTCCCTTCTTCCTTACTTCCTTCCACCCATAATCTATAACTTACCATCCCAGAGAGTTGCCTGGGGGCATTGACAGCTTCAGTGATTCACTCAAGAACACACTCAGGTATTCCTGATTCCCAAGTCAGTCCCTATCCAGGACAACAAAACATACACCAAGTGAATTAATTCAAACCATTTTTGGTGAGGACAGGTGAGAACACTGCAAACTTGAGGAGGGGGACACCAAAGACTCCTTGTGCAGGTGGTACCTTCTGAGCCTGGAAAAAAAGGCCAGAATTCTGAGGAGGGAGAGTCATCTCTCTGTCATGGGACATGTCCTGGGCAAAGGCGCTGAGACAAATACTGGAATTTTACATGCAGCAGACAAGTAGGCTATTTGTTTGTCTGTGTGTTTGTACGCTTATGTGTTTATTTGCTTAGACGATTTTATTGATTGATTGATTTTGAAGCACACCTATTACTAGCATAAACATCTCCCAGTCAGGAAAATCCCTCTACCAATGCAGATGAGTACCTGCTTTGTAACCTGTATACTTGGAGGAATGCCTGGGGCACTTAGAAGATCCACAGTTTGCTAAGAGTGACACAGCCAGTGTAAATCAGAAATAAGACTTGCACCCAGTCTATCTGACTCCCAGGACAACTCTCTATCCACTAAGCTGTGCTGAGGACATAATCTGCCTGATCATTGCCTTGTAAATCTACTTTTCTGTGTCTTTGGAGACACTAGTCTAAGACTCACCATTTATAAGCCTCTCTGTCTTTGCCCAGTGTGGGCAGTTTAATAATAATAATAGCTAACATTGATATGGTGCTTCCTGTATGCTAGGCACTATGTTAAGTGCTTTCCAACTACTGTCTCATTTGATCCTTGTAATGACCCTCTTGTACTATTATTATCCCGTTTTACAGTTGAGGAAATTGAGGGAAAGAGAAGTGAAATGACTTACCCAGGGTCTCATAGCTAGACAATGTCTGAAAATGGATTTGAACTAAGCTATTCCTAATTCCAGGCATAGAACTCTATCTGCTGTGTCATCCAGCTGCCTACAATTTATGGCACACAACAACGTAAGGTGTCTCAGCCTATTTCCACTGAGTTTTACTCCCTCAAGGAAACCATTCAGAGAACTTGGCTTCCAGGAATGACATTGAACTTGCAGCTCCTCTAGGCTGCAGCTCTTACTGTTTCATACCCGCCAGAGATATTGGTAGGGCCCTTTTAATGGAGAGAGGCAATGTGTTCTTGGGTGTAGAAGGCTAACCCTGGAATCAGGGAGACCTAAATTCAAAGCCCCCCTCAAACACTCACAAGTTGTACAATGCCTCGCAAATCACTTAACCTGCCTTGCCTCATTCAACTCATTTCTAAAATGAGAGGGTTGAACAAAATGGTAGCTAAGGTCTTTTGGAGTCTATGATGCTATGAGTTGAGCAGCAATAGGTCCACCAAAGAGAGAAAGAAGAGGATTAACGTGTGAATAATCATTTGGCTGAAGTTAAGAAATATAGAGGAATGAAGGTTTTCAATGAAAATTTGTGTGTGTGTGTGTGTGTGTGTGTGTGTGTCAGGGTGGGCAGTGTTTGTTTGGTGGGGAACTATGATTTTATCTATGTAATGAACTTCCTATGTAGGAATTCCTCTCCTAATAGACATCAGCATTTCCTCTGTAACTTGTAGTCATGAAAATTGCATGGGGCTGAGAGAAGTTACTTGACCAAGGGCATCCAGCTAGTATGTCTAATAAACAGCACTGGACACCAGGTCTTCTTGAATTTAAGGCTAGACTTCTATTAAGCAATCAGTCAGTCAACCAGCCAGTACTGCTTAAGCACTGATTACGCGTCAAGCAGTGTGCTAGGGCTGGAGATGCAGAGAATGACACAATCTCTATTCCCACTATGCTTTGTTCTCTGGAGATGAGCTAATTGAGTAATTCCTACAAGATAAAGGTGCCTTTATTTCAATGGAAGGGGAAGTTACCCACACTTAGGTGTTCAATGCTTGTAGCTATTACCCAGCCCCGAGACTAGGACTTAGGCAAGTTAGGATGGTTCCCAGGACACATGTGTGTTGGAGGTGGCAGTGAGGGAGTCATAGCCTGGGTTGTTTACAAATGTGTTTTTGGCCATGCAAATATTTTTCCTCATTTTATTCTTGTTTCTAAATCTACCTTTAGTAGTTTCATATGGAAGAACATGTGGGCACCACTAGAATCACTTGTCTCTCCTTTCTTCCCCAGGAAAACTGCTATTACCAAGGACACATCCTGAATGAGGAGATGTCTACAGCCAGCATTAGCACCTGTCGGGGTCTAAAGTGAGCTCTTTGTAGTGGCTAAGGGATAAATCTGAATAGGACGAATGACATTTCTTATGTTCCATTAACAAATCTATTTGGAAGCAGTGTGCTATCATGAGAGAGGATCAGTATTAGAAATAGAAGAACCTAGGTTCAAGTTCTATATTTGACATATCTCTCCTGGGCAAGTCACATAAACTCCAGTGCTCTAAGCCACTGATAAAGATGATATAATATAGGAACTACTAATCCACACTTGACCTTCCCCATATTGATGAAAGATTAGGAGGTCTTAGTGGACTGCAAGCTAAACATGATTCAACAATGAGATGTTAGTCCTTCCTCCTCCCCAAAAATGCTAATGGCATTTGGGGCTGCATTAAGATATAGCTTCTATAAAAAGGGAGATTTGTCCCCACCTGGCTACATCAGGAGTTATTTGTTCATTTCTGGGTACCTCAGTTTAGGAATGATAGACAAACTAGATAGTGTCCAGAGGACAGCCAGGACAGTTAAAGGCCTTGAGTGCAGGATACATGAGGATCATTTGAAAGAACTGGAAATGTTTCATTAAAGACATGGTTGGGTATGGTTGAATAATGGGTGGGTAACTCATTATCTCCTTGGGTAGGTAACTTTATTTTTGAACAGCACAGGTAGAAAACTTGTCCTTGTATCAAATAGAAATACTCCCTCCCTCCCCTTCCACCAAGTATCATCTAAACCCTTTTCCACAAGACAAAAGTTCAGAAATTTGAACTGTCTAAAAAGGGTAGTAGGAAAGGTAAAGACTGAGCTGTAAGAAAACGAATAAAATAAAGTTTGGAGTGTGATCTGTAAAACTTCAAGCTGTGGAAGGCTGGCTGGTATTTGTGAATGGTGAGGAAGAGAAGTTTACCCCACTTCCTACTGCATGTTAAATTAGATGAAGCTCATTTCCTTTTTTTTCTTTTTGTTTTTTTTAAATAACAGCTTCATTACCAAGGTGTTTGAGAATTATTTCATGCTCTGCCTCTGGACAAATGGAAAGAGGTAGATGAGATTCAGGACTAGTTAGAACTGAATGGGGTGGCATTTAAAGTTCATAGGATCTTGAATTAGCTGGAGTGTTAGAAGACATCAGGTCCATCTCACTTACTTTACAGATGAAGGAACAGAGCTCCAGGGAGCAAATGGCAAAGCTGGAGCTGAAACCTGAGCCCTTTGACTCTTAATTCAGTGATTTTTCCACTATGCCAGCATGATCCTCAGGTTATATAATAAATCAGCTGTCTAAATCAGATTATGGGAGACTGGCTTGTGGGAAGTTGTGTAAAAAAAAACAGGGCTGGGGAGGAGGAGTATTTAGAGGCCTGCAGGCTCTCTGTGAGTCATCAATGTGGTGGGAATTTTGGGAGGATAGTGCTTGCTGGGGCTGTGATGTGAGAATTATTGGGTTGCCCCAATATTAATGTGGAATTTAGGTTGTCGTATGTTTGAAAAAGATGGCTGGTCACATGGCAACCATAAGAAGGCAATAAAGATCTCAAATACTAGGTGGACCCACTTTGGTGAATTATGGGAAGATGTGGACAGAAGTCACACAGGGTGGGCAGGATTGAGTGGCTTGTGACCTGAATCACCAAAGAGTATCATCATTCATGAGATTCAAGATTGGGCCATGCCACTCTCCTATTCAATAAAGTCCAACAGTGTCTGGGATCATATATAAACTTCTTTATTTAGTTTTAAAAGCCCTTCACAACTTGGCCCCAATCTACTTTTCCAGCCTCATTGACATTACTCATCATTCTGTGCTCTGTGAGTCAGCCAAACTGACCTTGCTGATTTTTTCACCTCTAAAACTCTATTTCCCAACTTGGTGCCTTTGCACTGACCGTCCCCTTGCCTGGAATGCTCTTCCTCTTCACTTGCACCTCAAGGTCTCCCTCTGGCTCTTCCAGTCACAGTTCTAACACCATCTTCTCCATGAAGCCTTTCCTAATACCTTCAATTACTCACGCCTTCTGTGTCCAATTGCTTTGTATTTAACTACTTTGTCTTTATTGTATTTATCCTCTTAATATTTATTACACATGCATTTGTGTGTATGTGTGTGTGTATAGACTTGTGAACCCTAATGAAAGTAACTACTAGTCCTAGAGTAAGGAGGACCTGAGTTCAAAGCTAGCTTTAGACACTAGCTATACGAGCAAGTCACTCAACCCTTTTTGCCTCAGTTTCCACATCTGTAAAATGATGTGGAGAAGGAAATGGCAAACCAGTCCAATATCTTTGCCAAGAAAACCCCAAGTAGGGTCACAAAGAGTTGGATATAACTGAACCAATTCAACGACAATGACCCACAAGTAGGGACTGCTTTATCAAGGATGTACTCTCTTTTTCAGGTGAATTTATGGTTAAATCCACCTCCCCCATCTTCAACCTATATACTTGAATTTCTGAAACCAAGGGTAATACTTTATAGCTGCCCCTGTTTACCTTTGTCTTGTTAGATTCAACCTAACATTCTAGGCTGTACAGATATTTGGGGATCATGATTCTGTTATTCTCTCTTGCATAGCTTTGTGTCTTTTGATAATTGGACCAATAGTATGCACCCAGTTCATAAATATAGGTGGCAAACACCATCATGCCAAACTTAGATCCATAGGGCACTCTAAAGAGACTTCCTTCCAAATTGACATTGAATCATGAATGACTCTTCTTTGGAGCTAGCCATTCAACCAGTTCTAGATCCACCTAACTGGGCTATTGTTTAGCCCACATCTGGCTCTCCATATTTTCAAAAAGTAATAGCATATGAGACTGTCAAATACTTTGCTAACATCTAGATCCAGTATATCTATAGCGCCCCTTAGAATTACCAATCTGGCAATGTTGCTAAATAAGAAAATTCAATTACTCTGGAGTGAATTGCTTTTGGGGAAAGCCATCTTGGTTGGGATTACCACTTCCTCTTCTAAATATTTACTAACGTTTCCTCTAATAATATATTTATAAGGGACCAAGCAGTTTTTTAGGTTGGATGGAGAGGGAGCAGGGCTGTACTCATTTTTTTTACTTTTGTTTTTCTTTGCAAAGGACGTTGAGTTTTACACTTGAAAAGACATTACAAAAATGCTAATAATTTTTCAGGGATCAAAGTCTGGTTCATAATTGGTGCAACATCAGTTTTCATAGTTTGAAAATTTGGGGATTGACCCTTCTCTGATCCTGCATCATTTATGCTACTCTATTCCAGTTTTCAAAGATTCCCAACAGTGGCTCAGGAATCATATCTTCCAGGTCCTCTTGGACCCATCAGCTGAAGGAAAATGCTCCTTTGCTTTCTCCCTATTTGTTTCACAAATAAAACTTTTTGTTAGCATTTTTCTTTCATTCTTTCCAGTCCCAAAACCCTGTCTTTTGGCAGAGAAAACAGAGATTCAAAAGAATATCCTTGCCTTCTCTGCATCCATTTTGAGAAGTCATCTTATGCATTCTTCAGGTGTCTTTTTTTCTCCCCAGTATAGTTGGGAATATACACACACACACACACACACACACACACACACACACACACACACACACACACACATATATACATATATATATATATATACACACACATAATATATATACACATACATATATATGTATATTACTTCTTCTTATTCTTAGTTTTATTTACTAGCTTCACTCAGTCTTAGCTTTAGTGCTCAGAATTCTACTTTTAAGGAGGCATGTCACACTTCAGTTTACATCCTGCATCACTTGCCTTTGCCTCATTGGCAAAGTGAGTTTCTTATGATCCTCATTGATCCCTTAGGCAAATCCTTACTTTCCTGCTCATCAATCTGTTTCTTATCATGTTTTTAGAAATTCATGTTTGAGCACTTGTTTTGCATCAGCAGAGAGAGTACCTATACAAACCAAATTTTAGACATTAGTGTGTTTGAATAAATGTTCTCTTGGCAATAGCATACAAGACATGAATAAGGTATGAAAACCACCATTTTAGAATAATTAACATCATGGGTGACTCCAAGAGCATTGAAGATATATGTGGCCAAAGTAGGTAGGCAACAGTATGTTTCCATTGATGACTGGAATATGAAAAGTGGTTTAAATTACATTTGGAAGGGGCAGGTAGGTGGCATAATGGGTAAAGCACCAAACCTGAAGTCAGGAGGATCACAGTGTGTTCAAATCTGGCCTCAGACACTTAGCATTTACTAGCTGTGTTACCCTGGGCAAGTCACTTAACCCTGATTGCCTCAAAAAAAATTACACTTGGAGAAGGAAGTGCAGCCAGTCACATGGTGCAAGTAAAGGAAAATAAGTGAGCACCCAAAGTGCTTCACTGATTACCTTCATGTATGAATAGGACTAGAAGAGATTTCATTGGGTGAATTCATTATCATGGATTTACAAAATGATATAGAAAGGAATTAGGCAAATAGAAAAGACAGCCAGAGCTGGCTACAGAATTACTAGCAAGAAAGACCAGGATGACCTTCTATATATGGAGTACAGGGGGAGATTTGTAATAATCCACATAGAAGAAGTAATTCTTATCTATGCTCAAGGCTTCTCCCTTTCCTTGAAGAGAAAGTAAAGGGACCATTGAGAAATGCCCATGAACATAATCATGGGTAATGGTATTTTCTTAGAAAAAGAGAAGGGAAAAAAGAGCTTCAATGTGAAAGTGAAAAGTGGCAGAGGGGGAATCACGACCCTTATCAGGAGTTTATAGGATATAAGAATGTAACCTGAAGGAGAAAAGGTAGAAGGATCACTGCAAACCTGGAGCCAGGAAATGATTGGGAGGCTCTGCTAAATATTAGGGTGTGAGATCACCTACGTCAGGGTTTCTTAATTTGTTATGTGTCAGCCTGGTGAAGCCCACAGACCCTGTTTAGGGGTGGAACCAAGATGGTGGAGCAAAAGCAGTGACTTGCTTGAACTCTCCCCAAAGACCCTGCAAATACCCATAGACCCTGTCTCAAAGTTATAATAACAGTTAACATTTACCTAGCAATTATCATGTACCAGGCACTGGGCTAAATGCTTTACAGATCTTATCTCATTGATCCTCACAACAACCCTAGGAGGTGGGTGTCATTATTTTCAATTTAAAGATGAGGAAACTGGGGCAAACAGTAGTTACATGACTTACCCAGCATCACACAGCTAGGAAATGTCTGAGACCAGATTTGAACTCAGATTGCTCTAACCCCCAGCCCCATTCTCTATCCATTATGCCACCTTCATTGCTGTTCAGTCATTTCAGTCATGTCTGACTCTTTGCGACTCCATTTAAGGTCTTCTTGGCAAAGATACTGGAGTGTTTGTTATTACCTTCTCCAGATCATTTTACAGATGAGGAAATTGAAGCAAACAGAGTTAAGTGACTTGCTCAGGGTCCCACAGCCAGTAAGTGTCTGAGGCTGAATTTGAACTCAGGTCTTCCTAACTCTGGTCCCAGCACTCTATCCACAAATTGTCTAGTGTGCCACCTAGAATCAAATAAATATTGAATAATGGTTGCAATACATAGAATACATAGGATCACAAAGGAAATCAATTCTATTGAATTAGGTTAATGTACACACACACACACACACACACACATACATATGCACACCCCTTTACATATCTCAGGTTACCAGAGACTGTCAGGAGAGTATTAACCCAAGAAGGGTCTGATGAGGAAGAGCCAAGCATTAGTGACTGAGCACCCTCCTACTCAGGGATCCTGAAGCATGCAATTGTCTAACAAAGGGATCTCCAGCTCTTTTCCCTGGGTGACAGGATATATTCAGGATATGGCAGAAAATTTGCCAAGGCTTGTCAAAATCAGAAAACAAAAATCTATTTCTGCTGAGTTATGGTGAATCTGACAGTGCCTGTGGATCTGTCTGGATGGCCTACTATCTTAAAGTGAAGATTTGTCACCACCCAGATAAGCCCACAGGGCCACAGGGATGCACCTAAGTACCTGGATGAAGTCAGAGAGTGGGCTCAAGTGCTTTCTTCAGGTCTCTGTGGTTTCCAGAGCTGTTAGGAGGACATTGACAAATTGGTGTCCATCCAGGATATCTGGAGTCCATGGCATATGAGGTTTGTTTAAAGGAACTGGGAACATTTATCCTGAAGAAGGGATGTAGTGGGGTGGGGGACATGACTTAACAGTTAATTTTAAGTATTTGAAGGGTCCTACTATAGAGAAAGGTTTATTTTATTCTGTTTAGGCCCTGAGGGCAGAATCAAGATTGATGGGGGAGGCGGGAGTTGAAGAGAGAAATTTAGCCTTGATGCAAGGGAAAACTTCCTGATAATGAACTTTGTTCAAAAGATGACTTGACTTCTTTGGGAGGTCCTGAGTTTTCAAGAAGGTTTTCAAGAAGGGGCTGGCTGCCCACTTGCCGGCTATATTACAGAGGAATTCCTTTCTGTGTGTGAGTTGGATGTGCTGAAGTCTCTTCGTGCTCTGAGATTCTATTGGCCAAGAATCTCTCTTTAAAACCCTAACATCAATCACTGTTTGAGGAAAGCTTGGTCCTGATGTCTTTCAGGGGATTCTTTGAACATAAAGAACAAAGGTACGTGATTGAACCATTGGGACTGGCAAAGGATGAAGAGCAGGAGCATGCTCTGTACATATATGAAAGCCAGGAACAGCACCTTCCTGAGACATCCTGTGGAGTGGACATGATAGAAGAGGGAGAGACACTCCTGGAGAAGACTCTGAGGTCAGGCAACAACGCTGTGGTGAGTATGATGCTTCCCCTTTTCTTATGCTTATCTCAGAAAGGGAGCCAGTCAAAACAATCCTTAAGGGCATCAGGGCCACCCTGAGTCACCCAAATGTCTGGGACGCCCCTAGCTGCACAATTGATAACTACAATGCCCGCCGATGACTATCATCATTGAGGTTAAAAGGTGGAAGAGTCAGTAGTAACAACTGTCCTGAGATTATTGAGAAAAATGATATTGAGAAAATTACACAGATTGTGCATAAGAAGAAAGAATGATAAGTTGGGAGTTGGGGGATCTTACTCTAAATCCCAGCTTACTATTTACGATCTGTATGATCTTGGGCCAGTTGTTTAATCTTTCCGGGCTTCAGTTTCCTCATCTGAAAAACGAGGGGACTAGACTAAAGGATCTTTGATATTCCTTTTCAACTCCACTTCTATGATATGCTTGCATTTTATTTTTCTCTTAGGAGTCAGGAAAATTGAAGGAGAACAAGTAGAATGATGAGGCCCTACATGGTTAGTTTAGTAGGACATGAGGATAGATACACAATATAGAAAGTTCTATCTAAATACCCTTTAGATTATACATATGTCTATGACTTAAATGGTGGAATATGTCTTGTGTGTAGTATATATTAATAGTATACTCTACGCATATATTAATATGGAATATATATATGATTGATTCCTTGGTGAAAAAGCAACACAGGAAGAAGCTTTGAAAGGGAGGCAGGTTGAGAGAGGTTTACAGACCATCTGGGCAGGATGGGCCCGGGGATTATGGGCCTAGGGAGGATGAGTGTTGGGCAGTCATTGAGATGGAACAAGGGCATTGTGCACCATTTGAGAGGGTCATCAAGTTAGAAGAGAAAAATGGGGACACATTTCCAGTACTTCAAAGTTGCCCTAAAGTTAACCTTGGTTTGAGCCTTAACTATATGCAATGCACAGTGCAAAGCCTCAAGAGAGATTGGGAAATAAATAAACAACATCTACTTTTGTGAGCTTACAATTAAATGCTCCATATTTATTTGATACTCAACTTTCCACAGATACACATTTCATTTCCCTAGTAGAATGTAAGTTCATTGAAGTCAGAGCCTATTTACATTTGGTCTTTATATTCTCAGCACTTGACACATAGCAGATGCTTATTAAATTCATTCAGTTGCACATTTCCCTTTTTGTTTATCTTTCTATTAGGCTTATCCAAAACTGAGAGAGGGATATTGAAGTTTCCTGTCACTATTGTGTTACTGTTTGTATTTCCTTTATGAATTTAGATGCTAAGGCATTTGGGACACAGAAGTTTATTGCTAATAGTGGTTTGTTGTCTATATACTTGTTGTTTTAAAAATATTTTTTAAATGTTTGGTTTTGCTTTGTTAGATAGCATCATTACAACTCCTGTCCTTTTTGATACATTTAATACATAGGTTTTCCATCCTTTCAGTTTTATTTTGTGCATGTTTTTATCTTTTTAATGCATTTCTTGTAAGCAACAAATTGTAGGGTTTTGTTTTCTTATCCAAATCTTTCTTTCTTACTTATTTGATTGAATTATTTAATCCATTCACATTTAAAGTTGTGTTATGTTTATATTTTCCTCCATCTGTCTCTAATTTCTTTTGGTTATGATTTTTCCCCTTCTCTCCTCTGTTTTATTTTATTTTTATTTTCACATTAGTTATGTTGTAAGGAAGAATTAAAACCAATAGAAGGAACCACAAGAAAGAGGAAATGAAACAAAACAGAAGGAAAAAAAAGAGCAAATAGTATGCTTCCATGTGCATTCAAACTCTGTAGTTCTTTCTTTGGATGTGGATAGCATTTTCCATCATGAGACTTTTGGAGATGTCTTAGATCCTTTCATTGCTGAGAAGGGCTAAGTTTGTCAAAGTTAGTCATCGCACAGTGTGGCTGTTACTGTGTACAACATTCTCTTGGTTCTGTCTGGGTTTTTCAGAAGTTCCTTTGCTCATCATTTCTTATAACACAGTAGTATTCCATTGCATTCATATACCACAACTTGTTCAGCCATTCCTCAATTGATAGGCATCCCCCCAATTTCCAATTCTTTGCCACCACAAAAAGAGCTACTATAAATATTTTTGCACATGTGGGTCCTTTTCTCATTTTTGTGATGTCTTTGGGATACAGCCCTAGAAATGCTATTGCTGGGTCAAAGGTTATGCACATTTTTATAGTCCTTTGGGTATAGTTCCAAATTGCTCTACACAATGGTTGGATCATTCACAGCTCTGCCAACAATGCAGTAGGGTTCCAATTTTCCCACATTGTCTTCAGCATTTATAATTTTCCTGTTTTATCCTGTTGGCCAATCTGATAGATGTGATGTGGTACCTCAGAGTTGTTTTAATTTGAATTTCTCTAATCAATAGTGATTTAGAGCTCTTTTCTCCTCTAAATACAGTACTATTTTCCTTCAGTTATTTTACTTTAATCTTTTTTTTTAATATGACCCTTTTTCCATTGGCTCTGTTCCCCAATATCTGATCTCTCCTCATTTGTTACTCCTTTTTCTTTGGGGTTTTGATTATTAGTTCATTTTTTTTTGCTTTCTTTTATCTGGTTATATATTTCTTTCCCACATCTTCCTCTCAGTCAAGTATATTTTGCCTTCCTCTTGTCCCCTTCAATTAATGTTGTTCATTAGTTTTTAAATTTCATTTTTTGTACCCCTTTCCAAAAATGATTTCACTCTCTTCATAGTTCATCTCTCTTTCTCCTACAATTATCTGTTCTCTTTCTTTTCTCTGTATTACTTATACGATAAAAGATTCCAAGGCATCCATTCTAGGCTCTCCCATGTAGGTGGTTTCTGTCACTGCCAAGTAGGGGTTACTCCATGGATACACCTTTCCTTTTTATCTTACTCCTAAAACAATGCCAATTACTGCAGGTGTCAGAGAGGACACTGCTTCAGAGTGGTAGGACACCACCACATTCCCCAACCACAACCCTCATTATAAGTCTTCCCTCTAACTTACAGTCAGTATAATATAACCTTTGCTGGTTGTGTTTTCCTTATTTGTCTCACAATCTCCTCCCTGGGCTGGTGCTCTCCCATTCCCTGAGATGCCAGTTACACTTGATGAATCCAACTATTGCCCTCCCAATGTAGGATGAGTAGAATTTTCAGACACCAAATCCCACAGGCCACAGCCAGAATAAGGTTCCCATTTTCCTTCACAAACCGTCTCTCTTCAGCCATAGGAACAGTTATCAGTGGAAGCCCTTCCCAGCACCAAAATAAAACTTCCTTCCTTTATTTTTCTTTTTAACTTTTCCCTTTCACTTTCTCCTCACACAGTACCCTGTAGGCTCTTCTTTTTCTAAGACCACAGGGGTCACCTTATCCTCATTGCTAGCCCTTGATTTGACCCTGGTATATCACAAACTCCTCTATATCCTCCTATTCCCCTCCTCCTTTTTCATATACACTCTCATATTGTAATATAGTTAAAAAAAAAAAAGCATTGACTCACCTGTAGTCAGGGCATTGCCAGGTTATGTCCACAATGCCTCCTGCCTCCATCTCGACTGTTTCCTCCACTAGCTTTTTGCTTTCACCTCAGTCTCTTTGTGTACATTTAGAGAGAGGTCTTTCCTGTTTTGCTATTGCTGTTGCCATCCTTGACTGCTGCATGTATTCATTCCTCCTGAATTTCTGTTTTTTAAGAAACAGATAATTAAATAATCTCTTGTTTTCTTTCTAAAAATGTTTCAAACACATCTTTGTTACTGAACATTCATCATTTTCTCCCATATATGTTAAACTCAGATTTGCAGGATAGGTCAGCCTGGGCTACATTCTGGGTTCTGGTGCTCTTCAGAACACATTATTCTAATTTCTCCTCCTTTTATTCTGGTGGGTGCTGACTAGTCTTACATTATATGATTTTTTTCCCCTTTGTAATTGAAGGTCTTTCTCCTGATGGCTTGCATAACTTGTTGTTTCTGAATTGAATTATTAAACTTGACCGTTGTGTGTCTTGGAATTTGCAGGGTTAGGTTTTTTTTTCTTCTGGATGCAATCTGTTAATTCCTTTAATTGATATTTCATTTTCTATGTCCAAAAGTTCACTTCTGTTATTTCTTGCATTATAATATTAATTTTTTATTCATTTCTTTGTTTTGTTTATTGTTTTTATTTTGTTTTGACATGTTCTTCTGGGACATCTTGATCCATAGGCTGCCCATACACATCCTGTCTTTCAGATCAGTATGTTTTGCTTATATCAACATGTTTTCTTTTAATTTTATTCTTTTTTTTGTTTCTCTTCTTCTAAATTGCCCTTTACTTTTGTGTATTTCCATTCCCAATCTATTCTTCTTTCTTTGTTAGGCTTGACATTACAGATTCGAGTTTTTCTATTCTGACCTTTATTTTTGCTATATAGGCCATAAATTCTGCTCTCATAATTCTCATTTCTCTTTTGAACCACTAAGGAACAGCATGTTGTGGCTCCATGTTCTCCTAAAATTCTGTAGGGTCTTCTGCCTCATAAAGAAGTGGATAATTTTCCTTTTTTTTTAGTTTTTATTTGTTAATTTACTACATTTGGAGGCCAAGTACATTCTGTTGTTACTGATTTAACTTTTGATTTATCTTCTTATATTCTTTTAAAAAATATCTTTTTTTTAATTTATGGCACAAAACAAGCATTTCTATTACATAGTATGATAAAAAAGCGGTTGCACATGAAACTGCAAATCTGTTATGTATAACTAGTTATTCCTTTTAAATATATAAGAAAGTTATATCAATTTCTTTTTTTTTCCCTTTTTGTTCCCTTGCCTCCTTCTTAGAGATGTTCAGGATTTTTAAGTTTTCTTCTTCCTAAAATCTTTGGTAATTTCAGTTTCTCTCTCCCACTTCCTCCATTACTTTCCCTTCGGTCTTACTTCTGACTATCTCCCCTCTGATTCTGGTTTGCTTGGAGCCTGGATCTCGGTGTCTCAGCTATTTCCCATACTGGGTAATTCACAATTTACCAGCATAGGTCTCTGCCCCAAGAAACTTTTTGGGAGTCAAAATTGTCCCTAGCTGGATGTTGTACCCTTTCCTCAGGCACGTGGAATGCTGCAGAGCCCCCTCCATCCATAGTGTCCTGTAGTGGAGGCCTGCCCCATTCCTTCTGGTCCTTAGTTCTTTAACTTGACACTAGCATTTCGGAGCTTTGTAGCACTAATGCTTCTAGGTTGACACCCTTGGTAAGCTTTTTTTCTTGAAGGGCTATGGCTGGATGTCTATCATGACCAGGACAAATTTCCAAAGCCTAGAGGTGAGGCTTTCATGGTACTGGAAAGATGGAGGGAGGGCTATGGTGTGGGTGCTGGTTTTTTGTAAGCTTGGGTCTCCTAAGTGGCCTTGCTGCCAGTAGCAAAATATGGGGTATGGGGGTTGTGTTCTGAAGGAGCCTATCATTACTGAGCATCAATTCATGGTTATTTTTTTAACCTTTTTATTTACTTATATATCTTGAATTCTAGTTGTCCTAGACCATGGAGACAACTGAAGTTGTTTTATCTTTGGCACATAATTTCTGTTTTGAAGAGGTTTGAGAGGTTAGAGGATAAGGAAAATGTCTAGTCGTCCACTTTGTTGCTCACATGACCTGGAAATTTTCAGATGCTTATTATAACACTAACACACACACACACACACACACACAGAAAGATGCTTGTTGAATTGTATTGTTGACTTATAAACAGGTGCAGGTGTTTCTATCAGAACACTGGGATAAATGATGGCATATTAATAACTTCCTCCTTATATCTCTTGTTAGAAACAAGAAGACGTGAATCAAAAGAAATATATCGAGTATTATTTGGTCCTGGATAATGAAGTGGTGAGTATTCAAATAAGGCAATGTTCTAGTTAATTCCCCTTTAGAGAAAGTGATTTACACAGCTCCTGAGAGAACAAGGGAAAAAGTGTTGTTTGCCTTAATTGAAAGGAATAATGGCTCTGTGCCACCCAGGCACCAATTGTTCTAAGGAGATAAAGGTGGACTTGAACAGGAAGCTGATAGCTTGGAATCAGTGTATTTCCCCTTACATCATCTATGGGATTAGGGGAAAAGAAGTGGTGGCTGATTTTTTTTTCCAAACTCTTATTTTCTTTTCCCATTGATTTTACATTTCCCATTGTAATTATGACAGATACACACTCTTATTTTCTCTTGTTTTATTTTTCAGTTGACAATGGCTTCCACTGGTCTAGATTAAGATTCTCTCTTACATATTGAATTGCCTATCCAAGATATGTGTATCTGTATATACACATATATGATTAATATACTATATATAGAATATAATATATGCATATGTAATATATACATTATATGTATCTATATATACATACATAATGTATGTGTATATACATGTGCTTATGCACATACATTGTATATATATGCATGTACATCTATAGATGTATAGATACAGTTACATACAATGTGATGAGGGGGGATGGGAAGCTCTGTGATTTTGGCTATGCAGGTGTGCAGCCCCCAATGCAAATGAGTCATTTTTCTCTAATACACAATCTTCAATAATTCTCTGAGAAGTGAGATGATAAATGATTTGCTAAAAGTCACAGAGGCAAGATAGGTCAGAGGCAGGACTTCATCTAAGGTCTTCCTGTGTGCTAGACCAGCCCGTTATCCACTAGGCCATACTACCTCTCCAATCAATTAGTCAATGACCTGGAAGAAATTTACTAACCATATTAAGGAACTAAAAATTTAAATAAACATTAATATGAGCATAGCATTTTCCGTGTTAGCCTTTTTATCTCTCAGATTATTTCAGAGTAGGACCTACCTATTTAAACCATAGACTGGGAAGGGTATATCATAGCAAAGTTTACAAAGCTGACTATATCATGTATCCTATGATAGGAGTTGGAGATATAAAGATAAAAATGATATAGTCCTTGACCTCAAGCTATTGACAATCTAATAGGAGATGAGTCACAGATAAGTAGATTTTGTGGTTGAATCATTTCAGTCATGTCTTACTCTTCATGACTCCATTTGGGGTTTTCTTAGCAAAGATACTGGAGTAATCTGCCATTTCCTTCTCTAGCTCATTTTACAGATGAGGAAACTGAAGCAAACAGGGTTAAGTGACTTACCCAGGGTCACACAGCTAGTGTCTCAGACCAGATTTGAACTTATGAAAATGAGTCTCTATCCATTGTACCACCTAGCTGTCCCTGGAGATAGATAGATAGATAGATAGATAGATAGATAGATAGATAGATAGATAGATACAAATACATGTAGCACAAAGTATTGTGTGATGAGCCCAAAGGAAAGATTCAGATAAAATGCTAGGAAAATTTGAGGAAGGAGAAAAATCATAGAAGACATCTTAGAGGAAGAAGCATGCAAGTGGAAGTAAGGTTGAAGGAAAAAAAAGAGATGTTAACATTCACAGATGAGAAGGAGGTATCTTTCAAGCATGGGGGATAGCCCAAAGGATAGCAGAGAAGAGGGAGAACATGGGTCTTGACTGCTGAATTTCATACTGTATTAATTTCTGAACCTAAAGTAAGCAATGAAATGGAGAGGCTCCTTACTCCTTCCCTTTCCACCCCACCTCCCCCAGCCATGTATTCTAAAATTCAGTGACACTGGCTTTCTAACTAGATGCTTCATCCTTAGACTCAGCACTTTTGTTGACTCTCTCTTATGCATAGAACTTTCTGTCTTTCTCTTTCTTCAAGTCCTAACTAAAATCTCACCTTCTACAGCTAGCCTTTACTGATCTTCCTTAGTTCTAGTGGTTTCCTTCTGTTAATTATTTACTATTTATGTCTCTTGTTTAACATGTTTTTTCATGTTGTCTCCCTCATTAGACTGTGAGCTCCTACCTTTCTTTGTATTTCCATTGCTTACCACAGTGTCTGACATGTAGTAGTGAATTATTAAATGTTTGTTGACAATTTTTGTGCCACTGATAGAGAACTGTCCTGGGAGTGAGGATAACCTGTGTTCAAGATCTCCCTTTGACATAAACTGGCTACATATCCTGCAGAAATCACTTAAACTTTGAGGACACAAGACAGCTAAGACTATAAAATACAAAAGAATTCTTATCTGTGTTGATAGAGTTTCCACATGGGGAATTCCCTAAATGTTGAAATCAGTTCTATACCAATAATAAGGATATGATGACAGAAAAAAAACTGAAGTCAGCAATCTTCTCCAGTCTCACAGTATAGTTGTCTTCTTTACTTCAGTATAGTTCAGTTGAATTCTGTTTGAACTAGAGGAATCCCCTTTCCCCTATAATGTCGCCATTTTCTTTCTGTTGAGATTGATATACTTGTTTATTTCATTTTTTTCAGTTTCAAAAGTACAATCAAAATCCAGAGCAAATAAGACAGAGGGTTTTTGATATGGTCAACTTCATCAACATGGTATGATTTGTGTTATTAAGTCAAAATGAAAGCAGTTTCAGGGCATTTCCTGGGACTTCTTAGGAAGGTTAGGGGTACCCAATATTTCTAACATCTGTGACACTGTTCAGCTGGGGAAAGCAGAATGAATATGTTCACCACCACATGAACACGGATAGGTAGGTAATGTCTGGTATGCTTCACACATATTGCCTTTGGGGGACACTTCCAGTTAATATCACTGTGGCTTAGGAGTTAATATAGACTACAAATTCAGTAGTATCTTTTTCAAAGTGCAATCAGCAAGATTCACCCCCCCCCAAAAAAAGTCCCAAGCCATTTGTGATCTGTTCTTAAACCTGACTCTACTATTGAATTACGTTAAAAATCTGCTATTGGAATATCACTAGGTACTCAGTACTTAAGTGTCCAAGGCAGAGTAGCACAAGAATGAGAAAACTGCAGTTTGAAGTCAGACATCTGGGTTTGAATCCAAGCTTGACCTTTTCTACCTCAAGTAACTAACTACTTCCCCAGGTCTCATTTTCTCCTTCTGAAGGAGGTAGGCAGAGTGTGATTTTTTAAAGTTCTGAATCTCTGATCGTAAGTCTTAAGCAGACATTGTGGTATTGCACTGAATTGAGGGCCAAAGAAATACAAAAGAAAAAACACTGGCTCAGGAGACAGATGAGTTTGGTCCAAATCCTGCCTCTGATACCTGTGTGACCCTAGGCAAGTCACATAATTTCCACAGGGCTTAGTTCCTCCTTTGTAAAGTAAGGATTGGATATTCTCTAAGGCCCATCTCAGCTTTAACTCTAAAATATCATGACTTGGGCTCGAAATCTACCTTGGACTCTCATTACCAGCATGGTCCAGCACAAATTACTTGAGCTTTTTAGTCTTCAATTTCCTCAAATAAGATGGTTGAACTAGATAACATCTGAAGTCTCTGTTAACTCTAGGTCCATGACCTACATCCTAAGATTTGACCAGCACCCTCTGTTCCTTTTTTGAGCCTTGGTTTCCTCATTCTGCAAAATGGGACAGTTAGACTTGATGAACTCTGAAGATCCTTTGAAAATTAAATTCTATTTCTCTACCAGTTCAGTCCATGCCAATCCTGGTATGAGACTGGAAATTTGTGTGTGAATTTATTATATTTTTTTCATTTTTTAAAGATTCATTAATTTATTTATTTTTAGTTTTCAACACTCACTTGGACAAGATTTTGAGTTCCCAATTTTCTCTCCATCTCATCCTTCCCCAACCCCAAGTCAGCGTGCTTTCCCCTAATATGCCCTCCCTTATATCACCTTCCTTGGGAAGTTATCATCTTGCAGATAGAGGAACAGAGATTCACGAGTTGTGAAAACATAATTAGCAGCTTTGCTTTTTAGCTTGCATTTATTCTATTAAGTATAAAGATCACTGAACTGCCCTCCTTTGCTTGATCCTTCTGGAAAAAAATACAGTTGTTCTTGAAAAAGACCCTGATATCAGCATATATCTGAGGTGTAGACCCACAAAACTCATTACTGATTTAGGGTCCTGCCTGTCCGACACATAGGCTGTTTGCTAAGACTCCAATGCTGCTATGGGATTCTTTCATTAGTATGGCTCTCTAAGAATCAGAAGGGTCTTCAACATTTATGTCCAATTCTAAACCAAAGTAGGATCATCCTCCCACTCATAAGCCACGCATCCTCAGCGAGTGGTCATCCAGCCTCATGACTGAGGTTTATGAAAGTAGAATGCCTGGACTTCACACATTCACTCAACTAAGAGATTTAGATCTAGTGATTCAGAGAACCAGAGACTTAGAGCTGGAAGAGATGTCACAGGACAGCTGGTCCAATAACCTGATTTTACAAATGAAGAAATAGAGGATCAGAAAGGTTAAGCGACTTGTTAAGTGTGATAAACAGATACTACATAGCCCACCAATAAACTCCAAATCTTTCCTCCTCTTCCTCCTCCTCCTCCTCCTCCTCCTCCTCCTCCTCCTCCTCCTCCTTCTTCTCCTTCTTCTCCTTCTCCTCCTCCTCCTCCTCCTCCTCCTCCTCCTCCTTCCTTTCTTCTTCTTCTTCTTCTTCTTCTTCTTCTTCTTCTTCTTCTTCTTCTTCTCCTTCTTCTTCTCCTCCTCCTCCTCCTCCTCTTCCTCCTCCTCCTCCTCCTCCTCCTCCTTCCTTCCTTCCTTCCATTTCTTTCTTTTTTTCCCCCTAATTATAGGTATTCTTTCTAGAGGTGGCAACCATTAACTAATTATGCCTGCCCATTCTTTGTGACTCTTGTCCATACCTTTCCAAATATTCAATATGTAAATTCTTCCTAAAATTCTAGTAGTTTTCCTTGAGGTCCTTTCTTCTTGCCCCAACAAAGTGGTCAGAAGACCAGAGTCTGAAGACTATTGCCCTACACTGTTATTTCACCATTTCTTAGATGCTTTATCTGCAAAATAATTGCCCAGACTATCTCACAAGGATTTATGAAAAGATATACAGTTTCATAATAGCTTTTATGTAATCTTGCAAATCTGAATAGCTACTCTGTTATTGGAAGTTTCAATTGCTTAGTCCTAAAGTTTGCTTTCTCTTAACAGTTGTACAAAAAGCTCAATATCCAAGTGGCCTTAGTGGGAGTGGAGATATGGACAAATGGAAATAAGATAAAAGTAAGCCCCAATGCAAATGTGACTTTGGAGAATTTCTCAAACTGGCGAGGGGGTATTCTCCCCAAAATGAAACGCCATGATGTTGCCCAATTAATCACGTGAGTTTCAATCATCCTACGCATAAATCTGGCTGCCCACAGCATCTAGAATAAATGCTTCAGAAAAAAAAATTGTCCAAGGAGGTTGTGTTTAAATAGATACAGACCACATTTAACGTCTTCATCAGCTAAGTTTGAAAGGGAAGTAACAATGACTCAATCAATTACTTTTTTGTTACCTGAATATTTTGGGAATATCTGGATAATTTAGCAGAGTTTTCACTCTTCAGAGTAATCATATAGTACACATTGACGATTTCATATAACTAAAGTTTAAAAAAACATTATATATGCATGTAATTATGTCTCAAAATAACCCTTTAATAGAGGTTGTATTATTGTTGTCATTATGATTATTTCTACTTCACAAATTAGGAAATGGAGTCTCAGAAAGGTTAAATAACTTCCCCTAGCTCAGACACTTTGGTGATATAAGAAATATGAACCCAAATGCATCACTCTATCATCAAAATTAGACCATTTCTGTTGCATAGAACCTTTATAAACATAGTCAGTTATGGCCCTCAAATTTATAAGCGGGTGTTATAATAGTAGATAGCATTACTGCAGGGCTTTGAGATTTGCAAAACACTTTTCAGATATCTCATTTTCTCCTTACAATAACTCTTGTAGATAGGTGTTATTGTCATTCTTGTTAATGAGGAAACTGAGTCAAATAGCCATCAAGCAGCTTGCTCAGAGTGAGTGAGACTGGATTGAAATCCAGGCCTTCTTGGTCCAGGTGCAGTGCTCTATCTTCTGAGCCATCTAGCTGCCTCATGGTGGAGTGGGTGGGAACTTAATACCTATGTGACTCTGGGCAAATTGTCTAGTCTGTCTGGGCCTCAGTTGCTAATACCTGCAAAAGTAAAGGTTTTGATTTCTGATGTCCTTTCTAGTTCTAAACATTTGATTCTATGTAGGAATGGTTATAAAAGAAGGATCTAGGCAGTAAGAAAATAAACATTTATTAAGTACCTACTATATGTCAGGCATTGTGCTTCATTGAATTGAATTGAACTGAGTTGTTGAAAAGAAAACTGAAATCACTGAGGTATAAAAACAGAGAACACTTTCCAGGAAAATGACCCTTCCCAACAAGGAATCCTAGAAGGAAGCAACAAGGAAACTTCTCTTGGCTGTTATTTATGCTGCCCACTTCCAGATGGTTCATCGTTTCATGAGTACTTACTGAACATGAGACATTTCCACCTAAAATGTGCCCTTTATTTTAGGGGGATAGATCTCACTGGACACACTGTGGGCTTGGCATTCATGTCAACAATGTGCTCTCCTTACCACTCCGTTGGCATTGTACAGGTAGGTTGGGAGATAAATGGGGGTTCTGCCATTTATTATGTTATCTTCCTTGAGACCAGGAAAGTGCATGTAGAGACCATGAAGTTGTGTATATTTGTATCTCCAATACATATGGACTAAAGCTATTCCAAATAAACCAAAATGTAAGTACCTGAATTGCGTTGTTAACATTTTTCCTGATTTTGTTTTTTTGCTTTCCTCAGTGGGAGTCTTACCCTACCTGCCCTGCCCTATCCTATCTTAACCTGTATTTTATTTTTGTATCTTGCCTCAGGTTGTCTTGTCCTGTTTTACCTGTCTTAGCTCAACCAGTCCCATCTCATCCCATCCCATCCCAGTGAAGCCTATCCCATCTTCTCTTCTCTCCCTTTCCCTTATCCATCATATCTTATTATCTCTTCATGTATTTCTAAATGATCTTACTACCTACTGGCCCCATGAAAGAATGATGTGATAATAGAAAGTGTGCTAAATTTAGAGTTCAAAAGCCTTGATCAAATCCTAGCTCTCCAACTCACGTCTTGTGTGGCCTTGGGTAATTCATTTAAATATTCTCAGGCTTAGTTTCATTGTCTGTAAAATAAAATAGTTGGACTAGATGGCCTTTTTAGTCTCTTCTAGCTTCAAACTTATGATCTTAGAATCTTATATCATGCTATTCCTCATGACTTTCCTTTCATCTAATGCTTGACTTCAAGCTTGTATACCTCATTACCACCTCAGCTTGACTTGGTAAAGAATAGACCTCCATAAATTTCTGGCCATGACTTCCTTATTGCCTGTGGAAGGAAAAGCTTACTATGTGTTTTAGGCACAAACCTGCCATAGACAATTTGTAACTAATTAAATTATTCTAATTCTGAGCATCTATGATGAGAAAGACAGAACAAGACAGATAGAGGAGAGAGATAGTGAAAGAAAGGAAAGAAAAATGAGAGGGGAAAAAGGAGGGATGGCAGGAGAAAGAGATAGAGAGAAACAGAGACAGGGAGAAGGGAGAGAGAAAAGGAGAAAGAGAGGAGGGGGAGAGAGAGACAGACAGAGACAGTGAGAGAAAGAGACAGAGATGGAAGAGAGAGAGAAAGGAGGGAGAGGGAGAGAAGGAAGAGGGAAAAGGGGAGGAGAGAGAGACAGAAAGAAACAGAGACAGGGAGAAGGGAGGGAGGAGGAATAAAGAAAGAAGGGGAGAGCTAGACAGATGCAGAGAGAGACAGAGAGACAAGAGACACACACACACAGAGAGAGAGAGAGAGAGAGAGAGAAAGAGAGAGAGAGAGAGAGAGAGAGAGAGAGAGAGACAGTATTACCCCATGCATCTGAGAATATCTGATATGTCATTTCTGTTTGTGATTTATAGTATTTCAAAGCAAAATACAAAATTCTCCAATATGCTAGAACATACTAATCAAATTCTGGTAACAGTTCTACTTATTAGACAGCTTAATAGTCACTTTCCTCCCCTCTCCCAACCCCCAGTCATTTCCCCAAGACCATCCACTCCCTTTCTTCATTCCTGCCAAAGCCTCTCCCTTCTACCTCTTCAAAAATGAGTCACAAGAGGGCCTAAAAAGGGGGAAAATGAAACTTACATAACTTAGTTGTATATTCGAAGGGAATAGTAAGTTGTACGTGATATAGATGTGCAGTTTCATGTGCTGTCATCTCTTTTATTGTATTGTGTTATGGAAACACTTGTTTTATTCCATGAATTGAAAGTAAAATAAATTAAAAACAAAACCAAAACCAGCCTACTTCCCGTTCCAGCTTTTGTTCTAGTTACTTAAGCCCCACGATGGACTACTCTACCTCTGCAGGATCACAGACTCTGAGTTGGACGGAAGCTTGGAGCTCACCTCCTTAAGTGCTAAGAAATTATCAAAAACATGGAGAGCTGAAGTGACTTGCTCAAAAGCTGGGCTGGGAGGAGAATCCAGCTCCTCTAAATTGACCTTCTCTGATCTTTCCACTGTGTCAAAAGAGATGCTACCTGCATGACATGAGAAATCCTTGGTAGAGAGGGGCAGAGTAAACCATCATCTAACCTATAGAATGAGTGAGCACCATACTGTAGTGCAATGGAGGAGTGCCAGGCTTTCCTGTGTGTCCTGCCTCTACCTCCAGCAGGCCCCTGACACTGCTTTGTGAACTACACAGTGGAGATAATATCTGCAGTGGGATGTATCTACGTCTTTGGCTCTTGCCATCTGACCAGTGCTGAACCCCTAGCTTTTCCACCTAGCCTGAAGCTAAGCTTTTGTTTATATGTTGTCCTCTCCAGTCTAGTGTAAGCACCTTGAGAACAGGAAATGACTCACTTTTTCTTGTAGCAGCAGCTATTAGCACGAAAGAAGCAGCTGGGTAGCACAGCTGGAGAAACTTTTGGTACAATGGTGGCACAGAGGATAGAAAACTGGTCCTGGAGTCAGGAAGACATAAGTTCATAATCCAGCTTCAGATGCTTACTAGCTGTGTGACTCTGAGCAAGCCAGACTTAGCCTCTTTTTGACTCAGTTTCCTCATCCAGAAAATGAGAATAATAGTCATAACATTTAGCTCACAGGGTTGTTGTGAAGATCAATGGAGGTAACATTTGTAAAAAGCACTCATCACAGTAGTTGGCATATAGTAGTGTTACACATACACACACACACACACAAAAGCACAAGATATTTTTATTCTTCGTTCATCATGGAATCATAGCAACACAGATTTAGAGCTGGATGAGACATTCAATGCCACTGGGTTCAACCCTCTCATTTTACAGATGAGGAAACTGAGACACAGACAAGGTAAGCAGCCTGTCACGGCCACACAGCTAGCATCTGGGGTGGATTCAAGTGAATCTGGTTTTTTTTTTCCCACTGGCACCTGAGGATGCAGAGTTTGAGAACTCAGCTTGTGAAGTTTGGCCTTTAGAGAGACTGTCAACTGGGCAATTAATTTGTTATGCAGTCAAAGTGGAATGTGAAGAAAGTTATGTACAGAATGTAGAATCGATATCATTTCTTGCCTTCATAATGGGAGAGGCAGAGAAAGGAGGAAGAAAATTTGGAACTCAACATTTAAAAAAATGTTAAAAATAAATATTTTTTAAAAAGAAAGTTACTTAGAGTATACCCTAGGAAGATAGAAGTGGATTATCATAATTAATAATCCTGCCCACTCAGAGCAATAGTAGCAGACATGGCCAGGGCAAGGATAACAAATGGTGCCCTCATTTCCAGTTTATCATTCAGTATGTGAAAATAATAATAATAATAATAATAATAATAATAATAATAATAAATGAAAACAAATTCAATTGAGGAGGAGAGCAGGCAGAGTTAGTCAATACAGTGTCTTAAATGAAGGCAGTTGGCCTTCTGAAGTATGCCTCATGCTCTGCCCCCCAAAACAAAAAGAAAACAAAACAAAAGAAAAATGCTTATATTAGGTGCTCTGAGGAATAGGGAAGGGAACAATTATACCATTTTCCCTGTCCTTAATTAGCTTCAACAAGGTTATAAGGTCATCGATGTCATTTTAGAGACCAATTTGTCCAATTTCTTCCCTTTATAGAAGAGGTTACCATGTCTCACATAGGTAGGAAGGGGCGGATGCACAATTTAAACCCAGGTCTTCCTACTCCATAAACTCTTTGAACTGTCGTAGCACTTCCTAATGCACTCTCACGAGCCAAATCATGAGGAATCCATAGTATAATACAATAACAATAACTAGCACTTTGTGGGCTTTTGTGCTTTGTGAGTCACAGGGTAGGTGCTGTGCTAAGCACCAGGGGCATATTATTGCTCTGGGAGTTTGCGGGTTGTTCCCCAAGGGCCTTGACCAACATTCCAGAAATACCCTGAGAAGTCAGTCACTTGCTTCTTAATCCTAGTTGCTGAGATAGCCCAGTTAAGGAAACCAGAGCATTCACTGTCCTCCTGATACTTCTTTTCTTAAATTTGTGCCTCTAGGACCACAGTTACGAGCTCCTCAGGGTTGCAGGAACAATGGCCCATGAAATGGGCCATAATTTTGGAATGTACCATGACACCTATGTGTGCAAGTGCCCTTCTTCAATATGTGTGATGGATTGGGCGCTCAGGTGAGGCCTCCTTGTAGCACAAATTCCATCAAACACTTTACATTTCTTGCTCATTAGGGAATGAACATGGCGTATACCAATGGCCAGTCCCATTTTTCATGGTCTGATGAGAGTTTTGGATTCTCAAACTGCGTTCTGTGGAACACAAGTGCTTTCTGTGACAATGAGGGGAAGGAAGGGGAAGGTGTTTCTCATGTTTTGTGTGTGTATGTGTGTGTGTGTGTGTGTGTGTGTGTGTGTGTGTGTTTGTGGGTTTTTTTTGTGGAAGATATTGAATAGTGCTGAAGTTTGAAGAAGGAACAACTGAATTCCAATTCTAGCTCAGTTGTTTACTAGCTGTGTTAATCTAGGGAAATCATTTCCTCTTTTGGACCTTAGTTTCCTAACCCAGGAGGGGACATTGGACTGAATGGCTGGTAATGTCCCTTTCAGCTTTGAAGCTGTCATCCTCCAAGCTTGTGTTAGATTCTTATGGACTGTGTGACTCTGGGCAAGTCACTTTGATTCTCTTGGCCTCACCTTCCTCATTTATAACATGATAGGGTTGGATGAACACCCATGCGCTATATAATCCTTACTCTTATTTCTTATCCCAACAGCTTTTATATACCCAAGGACTTCAGTTCCTGTAGTCGCAGCAGCTTAGAGAAATTCCTGAGAATAGCATCACCAAGCTGCCTGAAGAATGTCCCTTTACCTAGTGATATAATATCTACCCCAATCTGTGGGAACCTGCTAGTAGAATCAGGAGAAGAATGTGATTGTGGGTCCCCAGAGGTACTAAAAACTTCTTATTCCATGACCCAGACACCATTTCTGATTAGAAACAGCTATGTAGTGCAATGAGTAGAACACTGGGGTCTGGAGTCAGGAAGACCTGAGTTCGAATGCAGCCTCAGATGTTTACTTAGCTGGGTGACTCTGGGGCAAGTCTCTGAACCTCTCTTGGCCTCATCTGTAAGATGGAAGATATTAGATGTTAATGGAAGATGTTAATAATACCATCTACTTCTTACTGCTATGATAATATCTTTAAAATACTTTGTGAATCTGAAAGTGCTATGTATTGTTGCTAGCTATGAGTGTTCTCTGTTTATACCATGGGAAGGTACCTGAAAATGATGTTGGACTCATTATCTGCATTTGGTTATGATTCTCTTATGATGTTTTCCCATTTGGATCCTCCTTATGAGGCTTGTGCTCTATGAAATTATGAAGGAAAGTATTTTGCAGCCCCTCTCTTCCTTTCAGGGTTCCACTCTGCTGTAAGATACTGACCCCCCATAAGTGTCTTCAGAAAGTCTTTGGCCACACACAATTCTTGAGGCTCATAATAGCACCACTATTAACCTTCATTATCATTATAACTAGCACATCATCATTACCAACTATAATAATGTAGATATCAGGAGAGAAGAGTAAGTCTAAATCCATATTGTCTGCCTCCCATGAAGCACTTCTTGTCTTTGGCATATAAGCTACAGTGTATGATAATACAGCATAAAACAGATGCCTAGTGGTTCAGTGAATAGAGTTCTGGACTTGGGGTCAGGAAGACCTGACTTCAAACCACACCTCAAACATTTACTATCTGTGAAACCTTGGGTGAATCACTTAATTACTCACAGCCTCAGTTTCCTCATTTATAAAAATGGAGATATAAATAAGAACACCTATCTCTCAGGTTGTTGTTGGGATCAATGATATAATAAATGTAAAATTCACGGTAAGCCTTAATTCCTTATTTAAATGTTAACTATTATTGTTATAATAGAAGACTGACTGAACTTTTGCTTCTATTATTACTTTGATCTTCATTTTGCAGCTGAGTAAACTGAGGCCCAGAAAATGATTGACCTGATTTCACTACTAGTAGATAGAAGTAATTGGTAATAAATATCTCCTTAGTCAATAAGTCAAAGAACCAGTATGATTTTTTAGAGAGAGGGTGGGGTAGGTTTATATAAATACAATTTAAGTCCTAATAATAGAAATATCTAAGTAATTGAAGTAGACTGTTTAGGTAATGCAGTTGTTTTCAATTCAGCTCAATAAAAATATATTGAGGTAGTATGGAATAGAGGAGAGAGATGGCTTCTAAGGCAGGAACACCTGGATTCAAGTCTAAGCAAGTCTGGTGCATACTGGTTGTGTGACTGTGGGTGAGTCACTTAACTTCTAGGGCTATTAGCTGCAGAGAAGGTGCCAATACATATTGGTGGAGGGAGTTTCTCCATCTGAGAGTTCTCCGTACATATAGAATCAAAAGTCCATCTCCTATCCTATTATATGCCAGAGTCAATAATTAATGAGACAGAGAAAAGAGGGATACCAATAAAAATAAATAGATATAAAATACATGTAAATAATCACAAAATATATACATAAATATGATGTATTCATTTATTATTTTAATATATTGGTTATATAATTATTAATGTGTTATATTAGTTATATTAATATAACACACACACACATATATATGTATATATATAATAGATACAAATAAATAAAATAGATATATAGGTCCTGGTCTCAACAATCTCTGTGCCTACCTAAGAATGATTGCGTTAATAGAGTGTGTTGAGGGCCTAAAAGAAAACCTAGCCTTTTTAATGCTTTCTCTTGATGATTTTTTTGTAGGAATGTTCCAATGTTTGCTGCGATGCCACAATATGTAAAATCAAACCAAATTTTAAGTGTGCATTTGGAGAATGCTGTGAAAACTGCCAGGTAAGACAATGACCAGTATTCCATATAAGTAAAAAATAATGAGGACAACAATGCTAGTGAAGACAATAATTGTGATAATATAATAACAATTGCAAGAATATATTCCAATTCTAGGTTCCTTTAATTAGTCATTGAAAGTAGAAGCCAGAGGGTCAAGGTGGTAGAAAGAATCAAAACAGCACACACAACAAAATAAACAATTCGGCATCAATCACAAACTTCCCTACAGACACTTGTAAAACAAAGTCATTGGAAGAGGGGTAGACCCTGAAAAGGGAGGATCAGGAAAACTTTTGGTTATTTCCATCTCACAAGATTTCCCAAAGAACACACAAGCTGGATCATATGAGAAACAGACCCTGTGTGTGTCATTCTTATGTATGATTATCTGAGTCACATTAATATGTGAAGCCAATATTTCACATAATGAGATGTGAGGAGCTCGTGTCAAGAGAGCTGACTGATACTCTAAGTACTCCGAGAAAGTGGGCCCTGGGGGCTTGAGGAGGAGGCAGGGCTGATCAAGTCCATGATCATTGTTTTGATAGCTTCGTAGGTGGCTCACGATTTGACATCAAGGCATCTTCCCAGCTCCTTTCAGACATGAGCACTGCCTAGCTGAATACAAGGCACCACATTTTTACTAAAAGAGAATACAAGTGATCTCCAAAGATAAGTTAATTATATTTTCATGTGCTTTGTTCAAAGTATTCCCAGCTTGCATCACTACTATTTATATAATTATTAATGATTTCCAGTGATTCACTTATCCCACTTAAACTTAACCTTTGTTAAGTAAGAATACTTCTTGTGTCAATCAATTAACCAAAATGAAATATGAACAGGGCTTGTACCTGGAAGATGAGGGGTTTGGTCCCAAACCATGGAACTTGTATAAAAATGGTGAGACATCTCGGGACTGTGGAGATTTAGAGGGGCGGGTAGTGGAGGGGAAGAAGCTGAGCTTGAAGGATTAGGTAGCTCAAGGTCGAACAGTGAAAGAAGCCAGAGAGGGCTGGACTGTTGTTGTCTGTCCTTCATTTTCAAAGAGGACAAATAATGCCCCAGGGGTCAATCGAGAGGAATCTATCGTGGAGGTCACTGGGCCTACAGGCCTCTCAGAACCGAGGATTTGGGCTGGTGCCATAGCTGTGCACATCTATTCAGGAACTAAAGGAAATTACAAGAAAAGATCTGCTTTTGTCTCTAACTATGCCTCCTAGTGCTTTTATGATTTATCAAACTTTAAAGAGAGGTGGCACAAAGGACAGAATGCAGGACCTGGAGTCAGAAAGACCTGAGTTTCAATCCAGCTGCACATATTTATTAACTGTGTGACCCTGGGCAAGTCACTTAACCACTGTCTACCTCAGTTTCCTCATCAGTAAAATGGGGATAATAATTGCATTTACCTGGAAAGGTTGTCTTAAAGATCAGATGAGATGACATGTGCCTCATTTTCCTCATCTTTAAAATGGGAATAATAATGACATCTATGTCTTAGACTTGTTGTGAGGCTCAGATAAAATAATAATTTAAAAGTGTTTAACATAGTGCCTGGCACATAGTAGGCATTATCTAAAAGTTAGCTATTATTTTTTCTAATCATCATTATCATCATCATCATCATTATTAATATTATTAATATCATCTCCAATGGCTAATACACAATGCCTGGAACAATATAGATGCCTGATAGGCAGCTAGGTGGGCCAGTGGAGATAGTGTTAGACCTGAGTTCAAGCATGTATCAATTACTGCCTGTGTGACCCTGGGCAAGTCTCTTAATCTCTCTATGTCTCAGTTTCCTCAACTCAAAGATAGCAAAAATAGCACCGACCTCCTTGGGTTGTCCTGAGGATCAAATGAAATAATATTTGTAAAAACATTTAGCACTGTGCCTGGCACATAATAGTCCCTTAATAAACACTTATTCCCATCCTCCCTAATGAAACAATCCACAAACATCTGTAATAATAGTCATTAGCATTTCCCTCATACTTTAAAGTTTGCAAAATCCTTTACATACATGTTATCTCATGTGATCCTCACATCAATGCTGGAAAGTAGGTGTTTGTACACACATGTACTATATATGTATGTGCACATATATAGTACATATGTATGTACACGCCACTTAACCTCTATCCATCTATCAACATATCTACCTCTCTCTATTTTCCTACCTTCTTTCTCCCTCCTTCTTCTCCTCCTCCTCCACCTCTTCTTCTTCTTCTTCTTCTTCTTCTTCTTCTTCTTCTTCTTCTTCTTCTTCTTCTTCTTCTTCTTCTTCTTCTTCTTCTTCTTCTTCTTCTTCTTCTTCTTCTTCTTCTTCTTCTTCTTCTTCTTCCTCTCTCTCTCTTTTCCATCCCCCAACCAACTGTGTAATCCTTGCCAAATATTGAAACAATTATCTTCTTCTAAGGTCTTTAAAAATTCTTGAGACACATCCTTCCCTTCTAGTTTTTTTTTAAATTTCTAAGATTGTTTCTCCTCCACCCAGAGGTTTCCCCAGCATTTCATTCAGAGGTAAAGATTGGGGATAATGAAGGGAAGGAGGTTGGGAACCTGCCTTTTTCAGCCTCTGCCTGTGGCACATGAGATCTGGCAAATGTTTCCAGGCCTGAAAGGGCACTGATGGGAAGGCTTTTACTTCTTTTCTTGGACCACTAGGCCAGCTCAGTTGTCAGATGCTTAGTAACACTTTTGACCACAGGGTGAGGACTATTTCTGCCCCAGCCACTGTAGAAGACCAGCTAATAAATTATCATGGGAGTTAAAGCCTGTGTTGGTGCAGGGATCAATCCTGGCAGATCAAATCACAGATCCTTATAGTATTCACAAATTGAAAGAAGGTATTTATGGAAAGTCACCTCATCTCTCTGGGCCTCAATTTTCCTCATTTGTAAAATAAAAAGAAGATAATAAAAGAGGTGAGAGTCCTGGGCTTGGTATCTAGAAGGATGAGTACAAATCCTGCCATAGACCTTTACTAACTGTGGGTCCTTGGATATATTGTGTGACCTCTCTTCACTGCTGTTTCTTTATCTGTGAAGTGAAGGGATCAGAGTTGTGGAGCTGCAAGGGACTGTGGAGGTCACTGGGCCCAGCCTCCTCATTTGACATATATGGTAGCTGCTAGCTTTGAAGGTTAAATACCATGCCAAAGGTCTCTAACTTCACCCTGATTTCATGATCTATAAAATGAGACAGCTGAACTTCATGGCCTTGAAGATCTCTTCCAGTTTGAAAGTGTGAGATTCTAAATTCTGAGGCATTTGTATCTTAGAGAAATGAGACAGGAGACAAATGGAAAGTATAGACATGTAACCAGTGCCTTCGAATAAACAAATGGAACAAATTGAGTACTTTAATTGCCAACAAAGCAAAGAGACAAAATATTTTTCTTTTCTTTCTTTTATCATTTTCTTTCTTTCATTCTTTCTTTGGGTCTTCCTTTATACCCTTCCTTCCCTCTTTTCTTTGTTTCTCTTTCTTCCTAGACAAGGTTTATATGCTCACAGATTTAGATCTGGAAGGGACCCCAGAGGCATACAAATCCATTCCTCCTCACTTTGCAGACAGGAATGTGAGGCCCAGAAAATTTAAATGACTTTGTACAAAGTCATAAGAGCCCAGAGTGGCAGAACCAGGATTTGAACCCAGGTGTTCTGTCCCTAGCCCCAGTGCTCTTTCCACTTCACCATGCTGCCTGCTGCCTGGCACCAGGGTCAGAAACAAAGACACTTCCTCTTATTCTTTTTTTTCCTTTTCTTCTAGATCAAAAAAGCTGGGACCCTGTGTAGGCCAACAAAAGATGACTGTGACCTGCCAGAAATGTGTGACGGCAAGTCTGGGAGCTGTCCCGAGGACCGATTCCGAGTCAACGGATTTCCCTGCCAAAATGGGCAAGGTTACTGCCTGATGGGAAAGTGCCCAACCCTTCAAGACCAGTGTGTCAGTCTTTGGGGGAAAGGTAAGAGTTGAAGGGGCATTTAGGGTTTTAACCTTTGAAGGCAAGGATTATTTTCATTCTCTCTTTACATGCCCAGTGCTTATGGGGAAGACTGATAGGCAGCTAGGTGAGGCAGTGGAGAGAATATTACACCTGGAGTCAAGAAAATCTGAGTTCAAAGGTTGTCTCAGGCATGAACTAGCTAGCTTTTTGACTTTAGGCAAGTCAGCTAAAGTCTCTGTGCCTCTGTTTCCTCATCCAAAAGATGGCAGTAATTATAGTGCCTACTTCATGGCATTGTTGTGAAAATTACATGAGATAATACATATGTGTGTGTGTTTGTGTATGTGTGTGTGTAAAGCACTTTGCAAATCTTAAAAATATTAGCTATTATTGTAGATATTTGTTTATTGATTTATTGGGGAGGGAGGGAACACGTATTTGTTTTATCTCTTTTTTTTTCTTTTGTGAGGTAATTGGGGTTAAGCGACTTGCCCAGAATCACACAGCTAGTAAGTGTTATGTGTCTGAGGCCAGATTTGAACTCAAGTCTTCCTGATTTCAGGCCCAGTGCTCTGTGCATTATGGCAACATGTAGCTGCTCATTGCCTCTTGGTTTATAGTCATTGGCATGCTGAAGTTTTTGTCACACATCTCTTTTTACTGCCATTTTATCTGAAGCTATGCTTTCCTACAGAAAACTGGTTGATCTCATCCCATAATCCTTTGAAGAAAGGGATAATTGATCAGGAAGAACTTTGTACCAATCTGATACATTGGCTAGAACAGAGGATTTGGATTCAAATCCTCTTGCTGAGTCACTTAACCTCCCTCAGCCTGAGTTTCTTCACATGTGGAATGGGAATAATAGTAGCACCCATTACACAATTTTGTTGAGAGGCCCAAAGGAGGTAATCTATGTAAACCATTTTAGAAATCTTTAATTTCCTTATTCATTTCAACTATTATGAATTCACAAATAGGCCAGTTGTTGTTTTCATATAGGCTATGACAAGTTGACTCTAGTCTTCTTAAATGCTCTCCAGGCTACTGCTGACTGGTCTTAGGATCATAGATTTCAAGCCAGGAAAGACCTTATAAGTTAACTAGAGCAACCCCCTCCTTTTTATACTTAAGAAATTCAGACTGGGACAGATTAAATAACCAGGCTAAGGTCACAGGTCATGGGTTCTTCCCAGGTAAGCTGAACCCAGGTCCTCCAGCCAAACAGAGCAGTCTTTCCTCTCTAGCATACACTGCCTGCTCCCGATTTCTCTGAGATTATTCTGTGGGCTTCCAACGGTAATAGGTGAATTCCATCTTTCGGTGGCTATTTCTACACAGTTGGATAAACAGTGAAAACTTCAGGCAGAGCTTTCTAAATATTTAAATACTCAGCACTTCACTAAAAGAACATCTTGATGAATCATTTTAAATTCATATTTTGGCAAAACGCAGATACAGCCTATTTGTCGTGCCCCAGGGGTTGACTCAGCTGTCTCCTGGAGTATTTTCTAATGCCTGTGTCTATCCTGATTATATACATTATTATTCATATTCAGTACAGCACAAATCCTGGCTAGAGAGCTGGCCTCAAAGCCAGAAAAACCAGGCTTCATGTCTTACTACAACGAGCAAGTCATTGAATCTCTATTTCAATCTATAAGCCTGTAATAAACAAAGAAGGTGCTGACCTGAAATTATAGAGGGAGTTTCCATACCTGAAAGTTCCCTACACCAATGGAATAACAAATATGGTCCCCATGACCCTACGTAGTACAGCATCTTTTAATACTCATACACATACATACCTACATACATACATACAAACAAACATACATACACACAATGCACACACATGTATGCAAACACATATACACATGCATGCACACATATACATAGGTATATACATGCACACTTACATATAAATGCACACACATATATACATACATACATACATACACACATGCACACACACACACGTATATATTCCCTACAGAGAGGAGTTGGAATTTATAATACAATTGTTTATGAGCCCCCATCCAATTTGTTCCATAATAGTGATCAGACAGTTGATATCTTACAGCTTTTACAAAGAGACATTTACTGAGAAGGTATAATAAGGACAGATGTCCAAAAAATCATCCCTTAAACCGGTGCTTACTCCTTGTTCTGCACATACTTGTTCCCTGAGAAAAGAGGACTGAAACTTGGAGAACACATGCTAAAGTAGTGACTCACAGCTTCTGATTTCAGGAAGTCATTTCCTCTCTTAGCAAAATGCTAATGAAATAAAGTGAAAATGAAATTCCCCTCTAGTAGAATGCCCTGTTAGTTCTGAGTGGGAGTGCCTTCACAGACTTCTGAGGCTACTTGTTCTTACTGTGTATACTCTGGTGACATACTGGGTATACTAACATCAACAATATGAAATTCAAATCTTTTGGCTTTTCAAAAGGCAGTCAACAATGAATAAGCATATTTAATAAGTTCCTAGCATTATGCTAATAAAGTGGGGAAAAAAAATCTCATGGCCCTTACTCTCCAGGAAGCCACATATTAATGAGGGCCATGATATGTAAACAGTTCACATACTAGTGCTTTCCCCACCTGACCCCCAATCATAGTAAGGAGGGGGAGAAGGAATCGATTTCCTTCAGCCCTCAGTATCCTCTGGTTATAGACACAAGGGTCTCTTTCCTCAAAGTCCTCCTGAAATTTGTATAGCTCTTGCCTGAATACTCCTATACTTAGTAGTATAATGTGATTTAATTCAAAGATTCAAAGCATTCATTCCTCTCAGAATGAGTAAAGATTTGCTTATGTCTTTGGCTGATCAATTTCACGAAACAAGCAAAGATGTGGTTTTCATCTGCAATGTATCAGGGCTAGAATACCATGTTAGTAACATTACTTGGGGATATATGTGTAATATACATGCATGTGTGTAAACAAATTTTCTCCAAACTTGTCTCCTGATCCTGCATGATTCTAGGGGCTCAAGTTGCTGAAAAGTCATGTTTCGACATAAACACTGCTGGTTCAATTTATGGTTATTGCCGAAAGGTGGAAGACACGTACATCTCCTGTAAAGCGGGGTAAGGGCCTTGACTCTTTCCATCTGTGGGTTCCAAAGACAAAGGCATGGTTGCATAGCTAGCCACTAATAGGGTTTAGCCCCTATTTGGAGAGAGCAAACTTGGAAATCAGTCATACAAATTGTATTGGGAGGAGGCGAATGGAGAATAATGTTAGAGAGCATCACTTTATTCTGCCCCATCCTATGTCTTCCATCCTTTGAATTCTTAGAGTATCCCATTTCCCATATCTTCACTGACAGGAACTGGGTTCCAATCCTGCCTCTGGTGACATTTACCTGTGGGTCCTTAAGGAAGTTACTTAACCTCAGTTGGCCACTATTTCCTCAAGCTGAGTCTTGAAGGATGTTAGGGAGACAGAGGTGAAAATGGAAATGGTCCAGGCATGGGGGACAGCCACTGCAAAGGCAAAGAGGGGTATTATGTGTAAGGAAAAGCAATTAGGAAGTATTACTGAACCAAAGAATGTTTGGGTGTGGGGTAGATAGAAGAACACTGGAAAGGTAGGAAAGGGGCAGGTTAGGAAAAGCTTTAAACACCAAACAAAAGAGTTTATACTTCATCATGAAGGTAATGGGGAATTGAGTAGAAAGATGTAGGAAAAGCTTTAAATACCAAACAAAGGAGTTTGTATTTCATCCTGAAGGGATTGGGGAATTGAGTAGACAAATGACATGATCGGACCTGCTCTTTAAAAGAGGATCCCTTTGTCAGCTGAGTTGGAGATGGATTGGAGTGGGGAGATAGTTGAAGAAAAGAGAACAATTAGAAGGCTATTATAATAGTGGAAGTGAGAGATGATGAAGGTCTCAACTTAAGATGTATTTGTGTGACTGAAGAGGAGATGTTTCCCAGAGATTTTGTGGCAAAAGACATATCAGATGAAGCAACTTAACTGGATAGAAAGAATGACTGAGAGGGCAGAAATGGAGATGTCACCAAGATTATGAACATCAATAGATCAGTCAATCAATATGTATTATGACACGATTGATCCTGATTTCATCCACCACAGAGGTGGAGGGGATGGAATCAGATTGGAACTCAGAGAAAAAGACTGGCAAGAACTTTTGGCCATGTATGATTTTTTTTAGCAAGGAGACATAGCACCCATGACCCACTGGGAGGAGAGTCAGAGTATATACAGCCCTAAATCCATGGGAAGTGGTTGAATCTAATGCTTGCTTCTTTCATTCATTCATTCATTAATTAATTCATTCATTCATTCCATGAACTTATCAGGTACTTACTATATGCAAGACATTAAAGATAGGAAGACAAAACAAAGAATAGTTCCTTCTCTAAAGGAGTTAGCATTTTTCTGATTTCTCAGCTCAATCTCAGTACATTAGAACTAAACTAAATGATACATAGGGATCCCCGAGGGCTCAATATTGATTTAGAAAATCACAAATTAATATTACCTATGCTTATTGTATTTTATTTATTTTATTAAGCAGTTTTTAATTGCATTTTTATCTGGTTGACCACACTGGGATGCATTGAAGTAGCATAGCCAGTATGTTTAACACCTCACCTTTAGATTATAAAACTTTCTTTTTCCCCCTCCTAGGAGTTCTACATGTGGCAAGTTATACTGTTATGGAGGATCAGATGTTTTGCCCTGGAAGGGAAAGATCATGTCTTTTTTGAACTGCAAAACGTTCTCATCAGAACACAATAACCAAGAGGTTTCCATGGTGGCTAATGGAACCAAATGTGGAAACACGAGTGTATGTTGACCTTGGTGGAATCTTTGATTCCTACTTACTGGGTTTATATCCACAGGCAGGATGGCTTATTCAACAGGGATAATGTTTGCACATATATATGTGTATGGGGGGGGTGCAAAATATGTGACTCAAATGATGAACCCGCTGTTTGTACACTAAATAATGCAGTTATGTGTAGCAGTTTGGCACACTGGGTGGAGAGCCAGCCTTGGAACTGACCACCTGACTGTAAGACCTGTCAATCATGTACTATCTGGGTGACCTTAAGTAGATTACTTATCCTCTAACTGCTCCAGTCTAGATGACTCTATAAGGGTGTAACTGACAAAGAAGATGCCTACTTGTATTGGTAGAGGGTATTTCCTCTTTCTGGAGTTCTCTATACCACTTAACTCTCAGGTCTATTCTCTACTGCCTTCTGTTCCCGAGATTAGGTCAGGAAGGCTTCCAATGGCAAGCATCCCTAATCTTTCCAATATAATGAATCCCTACGGTAATAGGAGGCAAGGCCTGGATAGAGATGGAGTCAAGATATCTGTGTCTGAATGCTGGTGTCTCCATCTACTAGCTGTGAGACCTTGGCCAACTCATATCTCTTTTCTTGGCTTCAATTCTCTCATGTTTAATATTTGAAGGACGGGCTCGATTATTACTAAGGTCCCTTTTACCTTTGTCAATCTATGAATCTAAATCCTACTCCTTTTCTGAGAGAAAGCCAATTCCGGACATTTTAAAAAGCTGTATGTCCTTGGGAGTGTCACTTAAATGCTCTTATTGTTTCCTTACCTATACAATTAGGGATCTGGACTGGGTGACCTCTAAAACCCTTCTGGCTGTAATTTATTTTCTGTGTGAGATCCCAAACCTAGGCAATCAAATGAGTGGTCTTTAATGGGCCTCGGAGTCAGGAAGACCTGAGTTCGACTATGACTTCAGAGACTTAGAAGCTATGAAAAGTGACCCAGGGCAAGTCAGTTAACCTCTCTTCTGCCTTAGTTTCCTCATATGTAAAACAAGGATAACAATAGCACCTACTTTCTATGGTTGTTGTGAGAACCAACTCCCTATTTTGAATGGCTACTATGTGCAAGGCATTGTGGTAGAGGCTAAAAAAAAATATACAGATTAGTGTGCCCTTGGGAAATTTGCCTTCCATTTTTTTTGGGGGGGGATTGTTACAACACATCTTAAAAAGTGAGAAGATGAGCATGTGTACGTGATAGCATTAGGAAGAAGGTGGATCCAAGGGTAATATACGACATTCACCCTTGCAATGAAAGTTGTGATTCTTTTAGCAAACGATTTTTTTTCCAGGGATGTTGAACAGAGTTGAAGCCAGGGAAGAATAATGTCCTATCACTGTTTTTCCCCCCTGTCCCTCCAGGTATGCATCAATGGAGATTGTATAGACGTTGAGAATGCCTACAAGACATCAAATTGTTCTTCAAAGTGCAAAGGACATGCAGTAAGATCAAATCATTGATTCCTAAAGCTCCCTGAACCCCAAGCAGTTTTAAGTCAACTTTAAAATTTGGCAAATATTTCTTTAGTGCTTACTGCATGCAAAGCATTGTGTAAACACAGGGGGAAATATAGTCTAGAAAAGATATTCTCCTTGTCCTCAGCAAGCTTATGCTTTCCAAAGAGGTGATATAATGGTAGAATAAGTCAGAAATGCATATGACTGAAATAGACAAGATTCCATAATAAGAGGATTAGATGGGGGGGGAACTCTAGGCTCCTAGGAAGATGATTTGTCATGAAGGAATCAGGGAAAGTTTACCAAAGGAGGCACACTTAGTGTGTGATCTTAATGGATAGGTAGAACTTCAGGAGCTGAAAAGGAAGAGGAAGGGTATTTCAGCCAAAAGGCTCAGGGTTAAGGAAGCTCAGAACTAGGAGAATTTGGGAAGTATACAGAGAGAAGGAGTGATCTAATTTGGTTGGGTGATAGAGGGTAGTTTTTAAAACTATATTTGGAAAATGAAGGATCATGGGATAATGACAGCTGACTACAAAAAAAGATGAAGTTTCTCAATTGACATTTTGCTTCTTTGTCAAAGACAGTGAGTGGTTTTTGGATTTGAAAGGGTAGAATAAAAATCACTCTTGGGAAAGCAATGTGGAGAGAATACTGTTTCTGGAGAGGACCTGAGTTCAAATTCCATCTGTAGTGATTACTACTTCATGACCTTGGACAAATCATTCATTCTCTCTGGGTCTCAGTTTCTTCATCTGTAAAATGAGAGTTGGACTAGATGGATAATGAGGTTTCTTTGAGCCCTAAACCTGTGATACTGAGTTGACAGTGAAGATAAATAAGGGAATAGTAAGGCAGCACATAGATCACCCTTGATTCAGTTCCTGTCACCTGACTAAGATGAATTATGTCCTTAAGTTATCCAAACAATAATAGCAATAGTTATCATTTCTATAGAACTTTTAAGATTTGTGCGGCATTTTAAATGCTTTCTCATTCAATCTTACAACAACCCTGGGAGGTAAGTTCTATGACTAGATCCATTTCACATATGAGAAAACAACGTGAGAGAGGTTCAATGACGGTCCCAAGGTCATAGAGCTAGTAATAGTATAAGGAAGGACTTGAACCTGGGCCTCCCAGAGCTCTAACTATTTTGCCATATTCTCTCTCCAGAAAATGGAATTTTATAGGGGTACATGCAAATTCTCACGCCCATTTTAAAATAATGTATGTCTAAGTACAGGAAAGTGCTATGCAGTCCTCCTTTTGCATGAAATAGATCTAGGATTCTATGAATTGCCAGGTTACTATGAATCCATGGTCTGATATGGGAAGTAAGAAAGGAATGCAATTTGAGGCTGTATTTAGAGGGTTAGAGTGATGAGGAAGGAGACAAAATACCATTGCCCTTCACTCTGATAATGTTACATCTAGGATAATAGGCTCGATATTGGATAGCACATTTTAGGAAGGACATTGATAAGTTGGAAAGTATCTAAATGAGGATAACCAGGTTGGTGATGGACAATGAGTTAATGACATATGGATACTGGTGGAAGGTACCTGCTATGGCTAATCTGGAGAAGAGAAGACAGAGGAAGATCCTTGTCTAAGTATTTAAACTGCTGTCAAGTAAAAGATGGGTTAAACTTTTTTCTGCTTGGCCTCAAAGGGCAGAACTTAGGGCAGTTGGTGTAAGAAGAGTTCTAAAGAATCAAATGGAAGAAATTGGTCAGGAAAAGCTTCTGACAATGAAAGTTTTCAAAAAATGCAGTGAGGTGAGTCAGGGGAAACTGAACTCACCCTTGTTTCAGATCTTTAAGCAAAGGCTGAATGAATGCTGATCATGTAGGATAGAGAGGCCTAAGGAGGGCCTTGATTGCCTTACAAATGGCTTAAATGTTATCCAGTAAATAATTTGATCCAAATTAATTAAATCAACATTTATTAAACATCTTCTACATGCTATATCCTATGTTAGGCCCTGGGGATAGAGAGATATGAAAATCATCCTTGCCTTCATGAAGTTTACATTCTTCTGGTAGAGGTGGGGAGAGGGAGCTACTGAAGACTATTTAACCTGATAGAGAAATAATGTCATGATCAACCTGGTAGGATGTGAGGGTTGGATTGGAGGCAGTAGAGAAGGGAGGCAGGAAGACCATCTAGAAGGATATTGCAGTAATACTGGGTAACAGCAGTGGAAAACGTTATTGGGGTGGGGTATGAACACAAATACATGCTGTAGAGATGAAATCACCAGAATAGATCATTGATCAGATAAGGAGTAGGAAGAAGAGTCAAAGGCAACCGCAAGATTTTGAATATTGAAGATTGGGTGATTGGTGGTGCCATAGACAGAGGGAGAAAAATCAAAAAAGAGGAAAACAAACAAACACACTTGAGAAAAGCGATGAACTTGGTAAAGTTTGGCAACTTTTAGGTAACTGGGATTAACCTGGCTATTCACATTTCTGTTCTTTAGAGAGGTAGCATGGCAATGTGGAAAGAAAAAAAACCCCAACATCATTGGGTTTGGGAGTCAAAGGACGTGGGTTCAAATTCTGATTCCATTTCTTACTACTTGCATGACCTAAGGTGACTCATTTTCCCCATCTGTAAAATGAAGGAGTTGGACTGAATGACCTCTCCATGTTCTTCCCTATCTAAATCTATGATCCTGTGATCTAATGGTTGCTTGATAACAATCTCTCAGAAGCCAGCAGTCACGTGGCCATGCATTGACTGCCAGGCAGGATGATGAAGTATTGGACAGCAGCAACAATGATCCTTTTGTTAAAACCTGTAAGTGACAGAAGCCAGGGGGGTTGTTGATAAATAATATCTCTTCTCCCCTAGGTCTGTGACCATGAGCTTCAGTGTCAGTGTGAAGAAGGATGGTTACCTCCCGACTGTGACAATTCCACCCTCGTTTTCCGTGGGTATTCTGGACTCTATTACTATAGTTGTTAACCTATTCGTGTCCATTCTGTATCTTATTCTGGACAGTACATACTTGGGTGGGCGTGCAGTGTCTCTCTTCAAGGCATATACACCAATCAAGTAAGAAATTTATTGGTTGACTTTTGTAATAAATTAGCTCTGCACATTATGATGATATATCCCATATATATATAGTACTTTTAGGTTTGCAATGACTTTTATTCAGTGCTTCTCTGAACCTCTGGTCTATGAACATTTTGGGCAGAATGGAGTCAGCTCTACTCCAGGTGAAGGGCAGCAAACAAGGAATGTGTCCTACTTCTGACACCATTATTGATCTGGCAGAAAACAAAACTTAGAAATGAATTTTTAAAGTTTATGAAAGTGTCTGTAAGAAGAAAGAGTCAAAAAAGGGATGGCCCACTTCATCTGAGTGTCCATAAGTTATACATCACATAGAATTCAAAGACAAGGAAAGAGTCACTAATTAGCCAACATAGACACAGTTTCCAGAAAAGACACATAAATTTCTTGAGATGTGTAGTAGGAGGGAAAACTTACATGCCTTGCATTAATCTTCAGATCTGACTAGGTTTATGGTTAGCATGACCTAGATCCTGCGATAAATATTTAATAAATCTGGTCTCAAAGCAACACTTCTTGTTCTTAGCCATACAAGCCTAGGTTCAAATGATGCAATAAAGTTTTCTCTTAATTTCTGCATTTGGGAGCTTTAAGTCCAACTTTCTTATACCATCAGGAGTTCAATTATAGAGTAGATAGGAAGGTCAATATTAAAATAACCGAGTAAGTAGAGACATCTTTTTGCTGCTCATATCATCAGGAGCTCTATAGAATTCCTTCATGAAGAGATAGAGACCAGACTGGTGGCAACTCATAATCAGGGGGATCAAGCTGGGTAAGCATCAAGGGCTATAAGTCAGAGTCTCAGATTTGTGCCAGGAAATAGTATACTACAGAATACAGGGAGATTTTTCAGATATCAAAATAACACATATGGCCACAAGTATCACAAAAAGTTCAAAAATATATTCATAATTCCATGCTTCATACAATGTCATAAAAGATGTAAAAAATTAATTAATCAGAGTCATAATCTGATACATTTATTAAGGAAACAAACCTAGTTAAACAGTCTCTGTAGGTAAAGTAATTCTGGTTACCAATGAAGATATATTTTATCAACTTATTTCATCTGGTGTCTTAGCTGTGTTGTGTAGCTATCTGATACTTAGAAACATTTTATTTTCTCTTAATTTATTATTTAATTATTTAGTTTTAACATCCTTTACCCATTGAGAAGGCAGATACCCATTATATTTGTGAAATCATGCAAAACATGTTCCCATATTTTCCATGTTATATAAAAAAGCAAGAATTTTTTTTTTAATTGAAAAAAAGCATGCTTCAGCCTTCACTCAGAGTTCATCAGTTCTCTCTTCGGAGGTGAATGGCATTTTTCTTCAAAAGTTCTTTGGCATTGCCTTCATCAGAGTAGGTAAGTCTTTCACAGTTGACCATCATTATGATATTGCTCTTACTACGTACAGTGTTCTCCTTGCATTGCTCACTTCATATAAGTCGTCTCAGTTTCTTTTCCCTAAAATCATCCTGCTCATCGTTTCTTATAGGACAATAGCATTCCTTCATAATCATATGCCATAACTCTTTCAGCCATTCCTCAATTGATCGGTCAATTTCCAATTCTTTACCAACACAAAAGAGCTGCTAGAAATAGTTTTGTACATAGAGCAACTTTGCCTTTTTCTTTCATCTTTTTGGGATACAGACCTAGTAGTGGCATTGCTGGGTCAAAGTGTATGCAGTTTGATAGGTGTGGTTCTAAAATATTTTCCAGAATGGTTGGAGCAGTTCACAACTATATCAACAATACTTTAGTGTCCTGATTTTTTAACAACCCGTCCAGCATTTGTCATTTTCCTTTTCTCTCATGTTACCAAATCTGATATGTGTGAGTGACACCCTACCGTTATTTTAGTGCGCATTTCTTTAATCAATAGTGATTAAGAAAATATTTTCATATAACTATTGATAGCTTTGAATTCTGCTTCTGAAAACTTCCTGTTTATATCCTTTGAACACAAATTGGGGAGTGGTCTTTTTTTTTAAATAAATTTAGCTCAGTTCCCTATATATCTTAAAACTGAGGCCTTTGTCAGAAAAAAAAAAACTTGCTGTAAGTCTCTCCCCTCCCCCACCCAGTTTCCTGCTTTCTTTCAAATTTTGGCTGTATTGTTTTTGTCTGTTCAAAAATTATTTTTTAATATCATGTAATCAGTATTATTCATTTGACTTCCTATGATCTTCTCTATCTCTTGTTTGGTCATAAATACTTTCCTTTTCCATAGATCTGACAGGGATTTTTTTTTTTTTTTTGGTGAGGCAATTGGAGTTGAGTGACTTCCTCAGAGTCACCCAGCTAGTAAATGCTATGTGTCTGAGGTCAGATTTGAACTCAGGTCCTCCTGATTCCGGGGCTGGTGCTCTGTCCACTGCACCACCTAGCTGTCCCCAGGAAAATTTTTCAAGGCTCCCCTAATTTGCTTATAATATCACTTTTTATATCAAAATCACTTACCCATTTTGACCTTATCTTAGTAGATGGTGTGAGATGTTTCTCTGTGCTTTGATTCTGTCAGAATGTTTTCCAGTTTTCCCAGCAATTTTTGTTAAACAGTGAGATCTTGCCCCTAATGTTTAGATATTCGGGTTTATCAACACTAATTTAGTATGGTATATTGTGTACCTAACAATGGTATGGTATATTGTGTACTTATTCCATTGCTGAATCACTCTATCTCTTAGCCAATACTAGATTGTTTTGATGTTTTATGCTCTGTAATGTTGTTTGAACCTGGAATTGCTATGCCTCCTTCCTTCCCTTTTATTTCATTATTTTCCTTAATATTTTTGATCTTTTGTTCTTTCAGATGAATTTTGTTATTTTTTCCTAGCTCCATAAAATAATTCTTTGGTAGTTTAATTGGTATGACACTAAATAAGTAAATGAATTTAGATAGAATTGTCATTTTTACTGTATTGCTCAGCCTACCCACGAGCAGGTAACATTCCTCCAGTTGTTCAGATATGATTTTATTTTCCTGAAAAGTGTTTTGTAATTGTGTTCTTATGGTCCCTGGCTTTGTCTAGACAAGTAGGCTCCCGAGTATTTTATACTGTCTACAATTAAATAGAATTTCTCCTTCTATTTTTTCCTGCTGGATTTTGTTATTGATGTGTAGAAATACTGATGACTTCTGTGTTTTTTTAATATCTTGCAACTTTGTGAAAGTTAACTTATTCAACTAGTTTTTTAGCAACTTCTCTAGGTTTCTCGAAGTTTACTATCCTATTGTCTGAAAATAGTGATAGTTTTGTTTCCTTCTTGCGTATTCCTATTCCTTCAGTTTCTTCATCTTGTCTTATTGCTGTATCTAGCATTTCTAGTAGAATATTGGCTAAAGGAGAAGGGATAATGGACATCTTTGCTTCACCCTGATCTTGCTCCGAAGGCTTCTAGTTTGTCTGCATTATACTTGATGCTTTCTTTTAGTTCTAAATAGATACTACTTGTCATTTTAAGAAAGATTCCATTTATTCCTACATCAATGAGGTATAGGAATAAATTCTAATATTTAAAAATAATAGGAATTTTTTTTTAATTGGAGTGGGTATTATATTTTGTCAAAAGCTTTTTCTGCACCTATTGAGATAATCATAAGATTTTTGTTGTTTTTGTTATTGATATGGTCAATTATGTTTCTGGATTTTCTAATATTGAACCAGCCCTGCATTAATCATGCATAAATCTCACCTGGTCATAGTGCATTATGTTGCTGCAATCTTCCTGCCAATAGTTTATTTAAAAAAAAATCTTCAATATTCATTAGGTAAATTGGAAAAAGGAAAATGTTTGTCTCTGGGCAATTCAATCACCCTGTTTTTCTCAGTTTCTTCATCTGTAAAATGAGCTGGAGAAAAATGAGCTAGAGAAGGAAAAGGCAAACACTTCAGTAGCCTTGCCAAGAAAACTGCAAATGGGCTAATGAAGATTTAAACGTGACTGACGTCACTAAACAACAACAAGAAAAAACTGTAAGCAGTGGGCTCTCTAATTTGAGGTACTGTGCTAGCAGCTGACAGTTCTGCTTTCTCAGCCGTGAAGGACTGAGTTAACACAACAAAATAAATTTTCCCCATGCAAGTTTCCGTTGCTTTTTTGTGTTAGTGTTGAATTACACTTTTCACAAACAGAATAAGGACATACACCTTCAGTTATAAAGGAAAGCAATCTTCTTCAAAGGGGGAGGAGCCCATGTTGTCTCCTTGGGCTACAATTCTTACAAGTCTATGCAGCTGTACAATGCTAGCTGATTACAACTTTATGAACAACGCAGGGAGAGAAACAAGGAAAGTTTCCAGGAAAATCATGTTGACTAGACATCACCACTGTCTTTGGGTCATTTCAATGAGTAGATCCCCTGGTCCTCAGTCCTCCCAAAGCACAGGGTAGGCAGACTTCATCCTCTGGGATAGATTCCTCTTGTTCTTCTCATTCTAAAACCAAGGAGGTCAAAGGTCTTAGGAAGGAGATGTGTCCTCGATAGATACCATTCTGAAAGAGATGTTGCTGACATTTAACATTAAGAAATAGGTCCACAATTTGGGACACGAGTGGATTTCCATGGTACCTGATGAAAGCCAAGTCAACAAATATTTATTAAGCGCTTACTACATGCCGGGTACTGTGAAAGGTGCTAGAATACAAAGAAAGAGAAAAACGCTCCCTCTTCTCAAGAAACTTAAATTCTAATGAGAGAGATGACAGGCAAACAATTATGCACATTTAAGAAATATCTAGAATGGAGAGACGGTAATCTGTGAGGTGAATATGGAAGACTAGGAAAGGCCTTCTGCAGAAGGTGGGGTTTGAGTCGAAGCTTGAAGCACGAT